GGGGGGGGGGGGGGGGGGGGAGTGAGACAGGGCAGATGCCCAGCTTTGGGGGGCTGGCAGGGGGATCTGGTACTTCAGAGGAGAACGGGGAGCTTTGGGCAATATTTGGAGGAGGAAGAGAGGGAAGGAGAATCTCTCTCTCCTCCCCCCAGCCCATGTGCTTTCTCTCCAGTCCTGTAGCACCGGACACACATCCTCACTAGGCCCCTCAGCAATTTGTCTTTCCTAAAAAGCAGCTCTCCAGTTCCTTTCTCCACAGCTACCACGGCTCTTGCACCGCTTGGTTTCCTCCAAGAGGGAGAAGGAAAGGGAGGGGTCTGCTCGTAGAGTCAGACAAGAAATAACAGAGCCGTTAAAGAGTCTGGGAGTGGAAAGTCAGAGAGGAGCTTGACCCCAATCAAGGAAGGAAGATGTGTCCTGCTGCTTACACCACGTTGCTGTCATCTAGAAGAGGAGAAAGGCTGGAAACACGGCAGCTGGTTTTGCTATCAGTCACCAATTCCTGCTTTGGAAGTGAGCCCAGAGAGCCCCCCCTTTCCCTCTTCCCTCCCTCCCTCTGCCTTCCTAATGCAGGCGAGGCTCCACTGAGATGTTTCATAAATTGCTCCCACGTTTCATAAATCACATATTGTGAGAAATATTGGTTCTACGTGCATTATTATTATTTTATTTTGGATCCATAACTTCTAGCACAGTGAGCTCCGTGCAGAGACCACACCGGGTATTAGGAGCAAAAGCAGGTGAGGCACATCCAAGAGCCAGGTTTCTGAGTGAGAAGAACACACCGTGGTGCTTCCTAGAGTTGTTTTTCACAGGGTTATAGTCCTGATTCTGCTAAAAGCTCTTTGTTTACAATTATCACTGATCAGTCCCACTTGTTTCAACGAATGGTTGGTGTTTGGGGTCAATGCAGTCTCACTCAGCCCTCGCACTGCCCTTGCTGTCCCCAGACCTTCCTCCCCACCCAGAACCTTTTACAAAAGCAGCCTGAGTGTCCTTATCCTAATATTACAGATACAGCACCTTTACAAACCATTTTAGCTGGAAACACAGCAGCTGGTTTTGCTATCAGTCACCAATTCCTGCTTTGGAAGTGAGCACAGAGAGCCCTCCCTTTCCCTCTTCCCTCCCTCCCTCCACCTTCCTAACGCAGCCGAGACTCCACTGAAATGTTTCATAAATTGCTCCCACGTTTCATAAATCACATATTGTGAGAAATATTGGTTCTACGTGCATTATTATTATTTTATTTTGGATCCATAACTTCTAGCACAGTGAGCTCCGTGCAGAGACCACACCGGGTATTAGGAGCAAACTGGACTGGTCTTTTTCTAACCAGCTTCCCTAACTACACAGGAGAAGGGGACCATGGAAGGCCACCACACAGGAGTGGGGGACCCTGTGTGCACTACAGCTGTTTTCATAGAATCATAGAATGGTTTGGGTTGGAAGGGACCTCAAAGATCATCGAGTTCCAACCCCCCTGCCATGGGCAGGGACACCTCCCACCAGACCAGGTTGCTCCAAGCCCCATCCAGCCTGGCCTTGGACACCTCTAGGGATGGGGCATCCACGTTTTGAAGGGTAAGGGAATGTATTTCACCCTCTGTTGTACCGTGGTACAGCCTGTGCTAGAACACAGGTGTCCCAAACCCCCCATCCCCAAAGCACTGTCTAATTTCAGACCCCAAACCTGCTGTCTTTAAACTTAAAAGGTACAGTGAGTTTTCTCTTCCTTCCCACCACCTCTGCATTGCGCTACCTGGCAATTTAAGCCAAGAAACACAGCTGAAATTCAGAGAGTTCAGAGGGAATTCATGTTCACCTTGCGTTGTGCTGGGGGGTGCAAAACTGAAGCCCAGCTGTGGGCAATAAGAGGTCACAGCTTAGCCAAAGATCAGCAGGAGAACATTAATAAGATGAAGTTGACCACAAACCTGGATTGATGCTTGGCGGGGGAGGAGGCGGAAGAGGACGGCCCTCCTTCAGAGCTTTTGTGACCTGCTTGGCTGATCGAATAGCATTGATAAAATCCTCATGGTGCTGCCTCCAGTTAGATTTCTTCCCTGGCCGTTTCTGTAATGGAAAAAAAAGGAAGACACAAACTATATTTCCCCCTTTGCAAGGGACAGAGAAAAATGATTCTATGAAAATCTTAGAGCAAGGGTTCTTCCCGAGGGAAAGGAAAAACATTACAAACAAAAGAAGTGTGCTTTTCTTGAAAGGCACAGGAAAGCTGATTTAGCCCTTTTTTGTCTATTGAGGGTACCAGAAGATGGATAGAAGAACAATGCCCTGCAACAAAACACTCTGGTCATGGCAGACCAAAGGGTGCTTAAGAGGGAATAGAACAGACACTATGACCAGCCCCTTCCCTTCTCCTCCACTGGTCAGATTCTTCTTCTTGCTTTAAACCTCTGTGCCCTCCTGTTTCTTTCTGCAACTGATTTTAAAGGACATTTTACAACCACAGTTTGCATGGATATGAAATCAGTAGTGATTTGGCATCTCTGGGTAAAATTATACACATGCATGTCCATGCATATTCCCCTCCTCACCAGAAATGCTTGAAAAAACCCTTGTTCCAGTAAAAGTTTAAGCCTCTTCCCCTCCAGCTCTGTAAATAAGTTAAATTTAAGTGCATTTTTAAACCCTTGAGTTCAATAGCAGTGAATCTCTGCAGCTCCATAGATTTGGGGCTACTGACAGGTCCCAGGTTGAAGCAGGGGTATTCCTGCACCAAGCATCTTGGATCACGCTGTGAAGAGGAAGGTGCCAGAGGCTCACATGGTCTTTAAAACACACTCATGAACATTTCCTAGAAAAGCAGAGACTCTTGGGCGCCCAGAGTAGTCATGACACCTACTGCTTTGGCTTCTTAACGGAGAAATACTCCCAAACGCAGGGAGGGGGAGGAAAGAATCTGGCACTTGGTCAAGCACACGTGTGAGACTCATCCACAACATCCAGGCTTTGTCCCCGGAGGAAACACTAGCGTTACTGGATGAAAGCCTTCATGTGGAGGCAACACGCGCGCTTCAGTTTTAACCACACCTTTGGTGGGGGCTGCCTCTTCACCGTGGAGATTTCTATTCCCCGCAGTCTCTGCTTCGAAGAGTTGAAGGGCTTGCGCTTCTTGTTGAAGACCTTCTTGCATATGGGATCATGTCTCAGCTGGGATGTGAAGAAACACAGTCGTTTACGGGTCGAAGTCATGCTTTTGTTCATGATGCTTCCTCACCCAGGCTTTAAAATTGCTTCCATTCGGGAGCAGGGAGCTGAAGCAGTGTTTATTTCGGGGTCAGTTTAACTCCTGAAGGAATTCAGCAGAACTTTATAAAGCTGTCCAAGTACAGCTGCAGTTCGACAGGAATAAGACACAGAAACCATTTCCAGTTCGTTCTGCTCTGGGACATGCTGGAGGCCAGCACAAATAACAGCTTGCAGAGGAAAACAGACTGGGTTTGTGAACAGGAACAGTCCCATTGGACTTTCACCCTCCTCTCCATTTTTTCTGGTTAAGGGGGAGAACAGACTCATCCTGTTCAAGGGGCTGATATTTACATTATTAGCTCTTTGAGTTTAGAGAAGTATTCCAGACTGGGGGCTCTCCTGACAAACCACAAGCACTGTTCATCCCATCAGCACCAGTGGAAGCAGCCTCTTACCAGCACACCAAACCCTACAAGGCCCAAGGAAAAGCAGGGACACCACCTGCAGCACAGGGAAATTTTAGGGAGGTGGACATCCCGTGCCGAATTTGTGGAAGAGCCATACCTCACAGAGGCCCAAGGAAAAGCAGGGACACCACCTGCAGCACAGGGAAATTTTAGGCAGGTGGACATCCTGTGCCAAATTTGTGGAAGAGCCATACCTCACAAGATTCAGAAGGGTCTCAGATTCTAGCACCGACCTCACTCGTCTGCAGCAGGATGGCCCTTTGTGAGGAACACCTTGTGAGGAACACCGTGAACGTGGGGGCAAAGCTACCTCCTCTCTGCGTGCTGTGGATCAGACCTTTTTGAGCCCACCCGCAGCTGGTAAATTAAGGAGCCCATTCCTATCTTCTTCCTTTGCTCACTCCCCACTTCCTTTTCTCAGTTATTCTTCATCCTCTCATTGATTTCTCCATGCCATCCACTCCCTTCCCATAGGAGTTAGGCAGCTCCCTGAGCAAGGCATCTCATTGCAGCCAAGAAGCAGCTCCTGCCAGTTATTCTTCATCCTCTCATTGATTTCTCCGTGCCATCCACTCCCTTCCCGTAGAAGTTAAGCAGCTCCCTGAGCAAGGCATCTATTGCAGCCAAGACAACACACGTTTCTACATTCTCGTTCCCCTTTGACCTTTTCTATTCACATCCTCAGATCCTTATCTTCTGTTTCTAGACATTTTTGACAGCAAACTCTCCTTTTGAGGGGAGCATTCCTCTGGAAGACCAAGAGATACCTGTCTGGTTCACTAAAGAGCACACCAGTGCTGCAACATTGGGGCACTGAGAGGCACTACAGGACATGTATCTCACCCCTGGCATAGTGACAAGAAACCTCCCACCTCCCTGAAAACATAGCTAGCTGTCTTTTCAAACAGTTTTGCTGGATTAAACCATCGTGTTCTTCATGTCTCTGATCTGAGATACCAAACCTGGAACTACTAACATAGAGTAGTTCCACCTTCATCTCAGCTCTCATACCTATTCAGCTTCCGGTGTATTGGTGTATTTTTATTGTCACTAACATAGAGTAGTTCCACCTTCATCTCAGCGCTCATACCTATTCAGCTTCCAGTGTATTTTTATTGTCTTTTTTTTTTTTCTTTTTTTCTTCTAAATCAGTTTTTAGTTCTGCCACAGGATCAGTAATGCAAACTGAGGAAGGGAAGGGTGCATACAGAGCCCCCCCTCCTTTGCAGAAGTAATGCAAACTGAGGAAGGGAAGGGTGCATGCAGAGCCCCCCCCTCCTTAGCAGAGACCCCCCCGTGGCTGGGTTGTGCCAGGCAAACCGTGCAGCCACCCATTTAGTTGGTAATCCAGGGATCAGGGAGGTCGGGGGGAATCTTTTCATTCACTTCAGCGGGCTTTGGAAGGGAGCCTGGTGCCCGCATTGTGCTGTCAAAGGGACTACTTATCAGATGGTTTATTAGTCTGTTTTTCCCAGCAAGCCTGAAATAACACATTCTGCCCAGAACCCTGGAGCACAAAGGAAGCTTCAGGTTAGTAATTTATGCCTCACCGAGAGATAATACGTTATTTTAAACGCAATGTATAGTACACATCTGGTTTTGGACAAGCAGGTAAATTAAGATAGGGCGAGATTGCAGATAAGTCACAATATTGCTGTGCACATTCATCAATTCCTAATCAAGTTCACTAATGAAATCAGTTATTAGATCATGTGCTCTTTTAAACGTGTGTTCAACCCATTTCTCTACCAGCAGCCCAACTCCTTCCCCAGTGCTCACCGCCCCTTCAGCTAAACATATTGACATCCCCATTAAAAAAAAAAAAAGAAAAGAAAAAAGTTTTGTTTTACCAGCACATCTTGAGCAAAACGTCTTCCACAGGTTGTACAAGGAACCAGCTCTTGCCTTTGGGCAGCTGTGTGAAATTCAAACCAGGGGAGAGTCTCAGTTAGGGGGTACGGGACGGCTCACCTACAGCAGAGTCGGTGCTTGGACTCAGCCCTTGCTGGAAATGGTATTTCCTCCTCAGAAAGGGAGGGCTCCAGCCACCTGCCAGGGCTCCCTTTTGCAGAACTGCCTTGTTTCTCTTGTTCCTACACAGCACAAGTGCTCCTTTACCACGACAGAAAGCTTTTGGTTTCCACGTGGCTGCTCAGGTACGTTCCTTCACAACATCACCACAGTTGGGCGAGGAGATGATGGAAGAGCACTCAAGTTCATCGCCACCTAAATTCTGTGGGGGTGGGCTGGAAACTGCACCCCCATTTATTCTGGTTCCTTTGTAAGTCATCAGGAGCAAACGATGCCCAGGAACGACTTGGGGTAAACCATCACTACTGCAGAAAGTGGCAGGTGACACTCAAGAGTGACAGAACCTGCATTCTTCAAACAGAACGTTTCCATGACGCGCTGAAGCAGCATTCCAAGATGATCTTACTTTGCAGATGTCAAATTCTCATTTTTAAATCAGATTTAAAATGTTTTTTTTTTTAAAATAGTTTTTTAAGTTACATGGAAAGTAGTCTGCAGCCTTTCTGACTCCAATGGCAGTCACATATTCTCATTTCAGAGAAATTAATTACGTTAAATACATCACTTGTATTAATAAAAACAGCTTTCAGGAAAACCTGAACAATAAGTTCACGTTTTCAACAGAAAGAGCCTTTTTCATGAGACTTGTAACCTACAGAGGGAACAACTGAAGTGCTCCATACCTGCTCCTGGCCGAGCAGCAGCAGACGTGCAGCTGCTTTTGTTTCTACCTTCTCCTTCCACGCTCCAAGGCAGAGAGTTAAAGTCCCTACAGAGTTCCACTGATTACAAATGGAGAGGAATAAAGCTAATTCTATAACCTTTTTGACTCTTACTCTATTGCCTCTGTTTAAAGGTCTTTCCCACCTCTGTGCGTGCCTGTGCTCTGGCCAGACTACACTCTTCCTTTCAAGCATCTTCTTCTGCCTCCCTCAACTCCTTTACTCTCTTCTCATCCCCTCCAGGTTTTGACTGATACAGCTTTTTTTAAAAAAAATGAAAATAAAAATAACTAGATAAAAGCACAGTATCAGTGAATCAGCAATGAGAAATCAGGAAAAAGGACAATTTGCCACAGAAGACTAGTTAGACACGCACAGCAGCAGATGAGTTCAGGACTGGTAAAGAACATGGGCACTGTCTTGAGTGAAAGTTCTCCTTTCCAGTAAATCACGAAATCACATTCCATCCAAACCACCCAGCAGTTTCTGTTACTCACTTGTTCTGTTTAACTCCTTTCCTGGTATCTGACTCATCTCAAGAGAATGGTTTCTCAGATTTCCTCTTCCCTGTTGTTGTCAGGAGTTGGGAGTACAAGGCGATGGGTCTTCATTACTCAAAAGCTCACAGTTCCAGTTACCAGCATCAGCAATTACATAATTAACAATTATGATGCGGGCAGACCCTGCTTAAGCCTGTGAAAGACATGAAAACTAGTACAGGTATCAGCTAAATGAAACTTGTTCTAAGCTCAGACAGCTTCTACTGATTTGCTTAACACAGACTCTTGAACGATTTTAGGAAATTAAGGCTTAATCTAGATCTGAATACTGTATTAACACTTCAGTTTTCTGAGTAGTGACCAAGAGACTTGTAGACTTAGTTGTCTGTTCATTGCCTTCTCCAAAACCATTGCCTTCTCCAAAACCATACTTTATCATTAAAATACATTATAAAAGCCTTCTTCCCATAAAAAGGGAGTACTTCTAATTGTTTCTGTACATTAAAAGGCCTCATCAGTCCTTCTGTTAGCTTGTCTCCATCTAGTATCCACAAAACTTTTAAATATTTAAGGTGCTTTGAATTTAGTAGTAGCCAAACCACTCTACTGCTGTGTTGGTTACCATGTTCCTTACCAGTAAAACAGTTAGCTTTTCACCCAAAGGCAGAAGATTGCTCAGTCTCCAGCCCTGAAGATCTAAAGCCCAGGGTTTGTTACCAATACAGAAGGATTCAGAAGGACTGACTACAAATCCTATTTATTTCATTCACGTGTATGCACTGGTCACTATCAGAGTAATTCACAAGCACAGCACAGAAATCTGAGATCACACCAAGCCTGAAGATACCGTCCCTCTGCTCATCTCCAGAAAGTTTTTGCAACAATTGTGGTGGGTTGTAAATTTGAATTTCAATGAAAACAAACTGAATGCAACACCCAAAGAATAATATTTCAGGAAACTCAAGACAATGGTTATCTATTTTCCTAAGTATCTGCTGCTTTGTTTGCCACACTTCTCAGACTGAGCACTTTCAGCAAAGCATTTTTCAACGTCCATAGTCAGGGTCACTGACTACATCAACGGCCACACTTGTTGCGACAGATTTTATTTGCTCAGAAATGTAAAACTCGAGTTAGGTAACAGGGATGTCTACCCACACAACAGCTTGTCAGACACCTCTGTTTACAAAAGATTATTTTACACCTTTCATAATAGTACCCAAACAATAAATAACCGACCCAGGAAAGATTAAGGAGTGGGTGAAAACTCCTTGACTTACAAAGCTGTGCTGTATCAAGGCACTATATTTAACCATCAGTATAAGGGAGAGAAGACATAAATGGATACATTGCTTTGTAAACTGAAATAATTTAATAGAAGAATCTAATCAGATCAGATCTGTAGATTCTGCTGATTTGCTGAATGCATTCAAAATATATATAAAACTTGTCCAGTGAAAGCTTGTAAGAAAAATATTTTTTTATAATTTTAATATATTTCTACTGTAATGAAACTTTGCAAGAGTTGTCATGTCACTCATGACAGAACAGACATCATTAATACACTGTTTTATGTGTAACTTCGGTTCAGAAAGAACAAGTTACTGGTTCTTGTTACAGTAATATCTGAATAACCCCCTTTGTGCACGACTGGCAGCGCTCTGAGTTCCCAGTTCCCTTCTCAATACAAGTGAGAACATAAGGATGTTTCCACAATACGTTCCTCAGTCCCATCAAGACAGCTTCAGTCCCTGAACGTTTTGTTTCAGATTGAGCAACTCCTTTTCTTGCCTTGTTTTCTCCAATTTGAAGGCCAGCTTATTGGCTTTCTTCTCCATCCTGCGCTCCTGTGTATAGGAATAAATAAAAATTTACAAAATAGGCATAACATGCAAAAAGAAACCACTTTAATTAACAGTTCTAGATCACAAAACCAGCAGCTATCTGAACAATAATATTATTTATGGCACTAATTATTAGTAGACAAATTAACAGGTACCACCAGCATTATCATTTTTACTTAGCTGAAGCTTCTAATAGGCTGGCAATTTCTGTTCCTCAATAAAATAACCAGCAGATCATTGTGGCCAGTTAGATTTTCCACATTTTGTTCAGAGACTTCTCACTTTGTGTGATCTGAAACACCACAACTATTTTCTTTGCTTCCCTAGATAATAAGGAAATACGAGGGCCCCTTCCAAAGTTATATATGTAATAGTGACCACAATAACAGAACAAAATTTCCACAGAGGAAATCAGAATGACAAAATTATGAGGTTAACTTTCTTTGCAGTAGATTTTTTTTTTAAAGAAGCAATAATTAGTCCTGTGAGACCAGCAAGTTTTTCCCATTCATTTCCAGACACAAGAACAAAGAAGCTTTAAAAAAAGTTTGTAAACCAGAATTCGGATAACATAGAATCACAGAATCTTAGTGGTTGGAAGGGACCCCCGAGATCATCGAGTCCAACCACAAAAAAAACCCAACAAAACAAACAAACAAACAAAAACAAACAAACAAACAAGCCCCCAAACAAACAAAAAACCACCACAACCACCACAAAAACAACAAACCCAAAACCACCACCCACCAACTAAACCCCACACCCACAACCCCACACACTACACCCCACCACAAATCAATAATCTTGGGCACTAGAGCATGCCCTGAAGAGCCACGTCTACATGTTTCTTAAATACCTCCAGGGATGGTGACTCCACCACCTCCCTGGGCAGGCTGTTCCAGTGCCTGACCACCCTCTCAGTAAAGTAATTCTTCCTAATATCTAATCTGAATCTCCCCTGCCGCAGCTTCATACCATTTCCTCTGGTCCTGTCATTATTCCTTTGGGAGGCCAACCCACGCCTCTCTACAAACTCCTTTCAGGTAGTTGTAGAGGGCAATGAGGTCTCCCCTCAGCCTCCTCTTCTCCAAACTAAACATGCCCAGTTCCCTCAGCCTCTCCTCATAGGACTTGTTCTCCAGACCCCTCACCAGCTTGGTGGCTCTCCTCTGGACACGCTCCAGCACTTCAATGTCTTTCCTGTAGTGAGGGGCCCAAAACTGAACACAATACTTAAGGTGAGGCCTCACCAAAGCCGAATACAGAGGCACGATGACTTCCCTACTCCTGCTGGCCACGCTATTCCTGATACAGGCATATTTAAAACAAGGCGTACCTTTCGCTCCTCTTTTATTGCCTGTTTTCTAGCTTTTCGATCCTCTTTGCTCTCGTCTTTGGCACGGGGCTGTGTGGATGCTCTTGGCAGGTCGCTGCCGTTAACCATCTGCATGCGTTCGACCTGCTTAGCTGTGAGACCTTTCTGAGGCAAGATATGTAGGGGGATTCCAGTCTTCTGGGAAATTTTTATTGGTTTGGGCTAAAATAGAGAGCACGATGTTATTAATGGTCCCTAGCTTTCTCTCCAAAAAGTGCACACTGCACTGCCTGTTCGGTATAAAAACATCAGATTCAGATTTAACATCAGTAAACAAGTAAGTTTCCTCATGCTGTTTTCTTCCCTCAGAAAAATGCACGTTAATCCCAAAGTAAGAAATTAAACACACCTGTGAGCAGAATCTGGCCTCTCAGAACAAGAAGAGTTTCTCCCTTTTATTTAAATATTACCAAAAAAACCCCTCTGAACCTAAGTAGGCACTAATATTCCTTTCTAAGCTTTCAAGAAAAAGGTTTCCTTTCAAAATCTCACACATGTGGAGCACCAAGCTGTGATCTAATGATGGGGAATGTCCAGAAGGCCAAAAACTAGAATAAATTGTTTAAATTGTGGAAGAGAAATAGAAACCTATTTTGAAGAAAAATAAATATCCTAATATGTGGTTGCGAGACAAAGATTACACAAACGTGTAATTCAGGTAACAAGAAAGTGAATTCCTTGCTCTCCACATTTCTGCCTAGGTACTGCAGAAATTTTTAATTTATCTAAATTTATCTAAACACTTCTTCAGTGAAGCAGCAATACCAGAGGCTAACACCCTCCCCAACCCTCTGTTCTGCTCCCTCCTCTTTTTAAAAACAGGTATTCATTGAGAAAACAATCACTTTTGTCTGAAGTTTTCCCAGGCCAGGTTGTTAGTAAGAGTCAGTTTAATGATTTTACCTTTGATGGCTCCTTGATAAGTGTTGGGTGATTATATAAGTTTGAATATGTACCTAGGTGACAAAGAAAGAAAAAATCAAAACCAACCAGTGAAGAACGGCTTGCAAATAGAAGTTAGGTAAATTTATTACGAATTGTACTACTGTTTAGTCTTTGGAGCTATAAAATTGCAAGAATTAAGTTTAAAAATGCATTTTTATCTACCAAGAATTCCTGCTGTTGTGCAGGAAGCATAAAACATTTTACCAAAAGCACTGCTAGAGAAGTTCTGAGATCACTTATTTACTTTGAAATACGATGAAAAAAACCAAGCGAACTCCAAAATACTTACTCAAAATGGATTCACAATCCCATTTTTCTTTTGATTCTTCAATAACTACAGCTACTGTTTCTTCCTTTTCTTCCTCACTTTCTTCATTCATAGGAGAGTCTAACTCTTCACAGGGTTCAAGAGTATCCAATTTCACACAACTTTGAAATCCAGAGGGGAAAAAAAAAAGGTTTATCTTTTCTTAGGAATGTATAATTACTTTAACCTAATCTCCCCTTAAGTAAAAGCCCAAACTGAAGAAAGCTATTCCTAATGAAACTTGCAGCATAAATAAGTTTCCTTAAGTAAGCATCCTCAAAATAAACTAAAACATTACGACAAGAGGCTTAGTTAAAAAAAGGTAGAATTTCTGCATTTCAGAAGTATGTGGCACACAGAATTTGTGACTGGAGGGCAGGAAGAGAAGAGGATATACTTTTTAGCCTGTAAGCAAAGCACCTCTAGAGGTGATTACGTACCCTACTACAGAGCAGTCGACTTTCACTAAGGGACTCACTACCACAGAAATACAAGACTAAGGTGAGAAGATTTAGCCATTTAACTTTGGGGTAACATCACCTGCTTTAAGACAAAGTGAATATTCTGTGGAAACGCAGTCTTACACTGACACAGGGTGGCTTTATCAGCACTGATTTTTGCAGTGCTCTAAACTGTGGTACCCAAACAACAGTCACCTACGAGTTAATTATCATGTAATTAGGTATATAGTGGGATCAATCGCATATCAACAGGACAGAATATACTTGGCTACAGAGTCTGTTAAAAACAAGAGTAAAAATACAAGGAGAAAGGCAAGTTACACAAAGAAGGGAAAGGAGGAATGCCTCTAGGTATTACTTACACTAAATTCAAGACAATTTGACAAAAGGAGCATAATCTCACATAAACCAACAAAATGCCTCCACTTAATTTTATCATCCCCTAAGTTAAAACTGACATTGAGAGACATTTAAAAAATGGGTAATACTCATATGTAGATGTTTTTATTGTGGGATGCAATCTTGGAGTACGTGAACTGGAAAAAACATACCCAAACTTTCAATATAAACACAGGATGACATAGCTACTCATGTGAAGGAGTATTTCTGGGAATACATACTTCTTTGCTTTCTCTTTGTAGTAATCATTCAGGACTTCCTGCAACCGGGCATTGTCCGTGTTAATATAGCCTTCCAACTCCACGTTATCCAAGGCTCCAATTTCATCTTCATCAAATTGCTCAAAGAACTAAAATAAAGAAGTGAATATCTGTAGTTAGACCGCATTTGTCGTGCAACTTTTTGGTAGCTTAAAGAAGATCTACATATTTTCTGTTATTTGACCCTTTTTTCTCTCCCCTCTCATTTGCTGGACAACTGCCAAACACATCTGCAGTGGGACTTCCTGCTTACTGTCAGTATTACTTCAGCATGGGAGTTACAAAGTTATCTTTAAATAATATTTAAATGAGCTTCTAGAAAATTGTTTCTTCTTTTGAGGCATTATTTCAATCTTTACATTAAAAAGCTTGACTCTGCTCAGGACAGAAGTTACACCATAAAGTATTTCCACTGCTTTGACATCGTTTAGTGAACGTGTACTTGGCACAGCGGGGAAAAAGGGTGAAATCAGTGAGACTTTACCAGGCACTTGTACCTGATTTGCTGTGTTGAACTGAGCCTCTCACACAGAACCGTAACACCAACTTTGAATGCTCGTTACACTCATCACAATAATTTTGTTTAACTGTATCAGTGTTAGGCCTTTTAATAGCAATTAACACTCTGTGTAACACAAGCCTCTTAGCATGTTAGGCCTTTTAATAGCAATTAACACTCTAACTGTGTAACACAAGCCTCTTAGTGCACACAATATTAAATGCAGAATGTGTGCATCAAAAGACAAAGAAGCATTTAACAGCCTTATGTTTAACAGTTACATTCTTGAGCTGCCTCACCTTCTCAAATCTGTCATCCAACAGGGTCAGCTGCTCGTTCCTTCTTATTACTGAAGAGCTCATAGAATATTCTGTGAAACGACTCCTGGTTTCCTCTTGCATAAAAAGGAATTCTTTTGGCCGTCCATTAATCCCATCATCTGAGAAAGGACCTTCTGAATCATTACTGCAACTGTCCTTTTCATCACTATCTTCCTCCACATCTTCCCATTCATCTTCATCCTCAGCATCTGATCCCCTGAACACAAGTATAAACCAACTATAGAATAACACATGGACCTTTCCACAGCTCTGCCCCGTGCTGGGTTATGTGAAACAATTTGGCAGTAATAGATTTAAATCTTGAGAGGCAAAGATAAAAAGTGATGATTTAAGCCAGTACAGTAATAGATTTAAATCTTGAGAGGCAAAGGTAAAAAGTGATGATTTTCAAGCCAGTGAAAGAAACCCAAGTTTAGCAGTAACAGTGCTGCCAAAGTCAGCATAATGCTACTTCTGTCCCTAAGCTGAATACAAATCTGGTAACTACTGGATCACACATCTGTGCACTGAGACTGAGGTTGTGTTTACATGCAGCTATACGTGTCCAAGTGGAAAAATACCAGCTGCATTCTTCAGTACTAAAACTAGCAAAATTTCTCATTGTTCATAAAATGATGAGAATTATACCAAAACCATAAAGAAATAATATGCAGTAGGGTATCATGTAAAGCATTTGTAAAGGTTCTGGAAAGACCCATTAGCCCTCATCAATATCATTACTGATGTGTTGTAGGTATGATAGATGGCAGTGTTTTATATAGTTCAAGAATCCCATTATTCCATACACTGCATATGTTAACAAACATATATAATCCATGAGCTCAAAGGAATAAATTAAATCCATCTCTTGGATAACACATGAAAATTTGTTTTGTAAGCTACAACCCACATAACACAAGGTATTACTTTTTTTCCTTCAACACACTTTTAAGTATTCAATTTGAAATCTGAAACCATTCTTGCTTCCTCCAACAACATATGAAATAACAAGTAGCATCATTCCTATTTACATACGACAAACAGTTCTACAAAGCTCTCTGTACCCTTTCCGTGGTTCATTTGCTTGTAGAACAAAATCATCTTCCAGAATATTTTCTGGATTGTCAAAGTCAAAATCATCGTCAAGAGCCGCAACAATATCAGGGTCAAAATCAAGTCGTGGTCCTAGAAAGTTAAAAAAAAAACCAATCAAACACAAACCAACATAAATCTAAGTTTCTCTGACATTATGAAGATGCTTTCCTGGATAAAACCCAATTCAACTAGGCTGTTAATTTGCACGAAGGGAAGATTATCATAGAATCATAGAATCGCCCAGGCCAGAAGGGACCTCCAAAGGTCATCTAGTCCGACCTCCCCGCAGTCAGCAGGGACACCCCCAACTAGACCAGGTTGCCCAGGGCCTCGTCGAGCCTCTCCTTGAATATCTCCAGGGATGGGGCCTCAACCACCTCCCTGGGCAACCTGTTCCAGTGCTCCACCACCCTCACAGTAAAGAACTTTCTCCTAATCTCCAATCTAAATCTGTTCCCCTCCAGCTTAAAGCCATTTCCCCTCGTCCTGTCACTACAGGCCTTTCTAAACAGGCTCTCCCCAGCCTTCCTGTAGGCTCCCTTCAGGGACTAGAAGGCTGCTCTAAGGTCTCCCCGGCGCCTCCTCTTCTCCAGACTGAACAATCCCCTGCTACTGAGCCTGTTCAAAACTAATATCATATTGTAATCAAAGCCACAATTATCATTTAATACCTAGATGGCAACTCACACTACAGAGAGGTAGAATATTTAACAATACCTGAAACAGGAGCAGCTTTATTTAACAAGCCCACATCCTCTTCAAACTCTGTGGCAAATACCGAGGAAGGCAACTTAATAGATGGAGCCTTAGAAAAAAGAAACAAAATGCCAACATTGCAATATTACTTTTTCTCAGTTTCTCATATGAGCTCACATTTACAAAATGTGGAAATAATCACGTGACCAACAGAAACTCTGTGAGTGCTACTTCAATATTAAGAAAAGTGCTACTCTATTGGTGGTAAATTTTCAAAGCCATGCAATGAAAGCCAGGTTAAGTGTTGGCAGCATTAATTCTCATGTGAATATTCTCCAGGTATAGAGATGGTATTTTTGCATCTCTGAAGCTTTTCAGAGAACGTTTGTACAGCAGGGACGATGAAATTTGTAGGGTTTTTTTTGTTTTAGAGAAGACTAACACACATTTGAAACTGCTCCTTTATTGATAGGCTTATTAAAAACTTACTAACACACATCTAATATAACTTTAAATCTTAGGTAGTATCACTACATAAGGTATCTCTGACTAAGAATATAATTTTCAACTAAAATTACAGTATTTGGTTAAATCAAACTCCCTCAATTAAAAGTGACTAACTGGCAATTGTGTACTTCATTGCTTGAAATTACTTATTTTCCATTCCAATGTGATCTAGCATCATGAAATTCCACAAGTTATGCCAGCAATTGAAAAGTTTGGTTTTATTCCTTCTGGATTTTGTTACATTCCACTTTAAAACACAGTGTAATGTCATACACCATGTAATGGTGTGATGTACCATGGCTGTAATACAACATGGCCTATTCATAACTCCTAGGACATTCAAAAGTTCTAAAAAACTTAATAACAAATGCCAACTCCAGAAAAACACATGACTTTTCAAACGCATGCCTTTGTAAGCCACTTCTGTCAAGAAAAGCTTGTCATGGGTACACAATGTGTTTTAACACTGTCCTGGCAAATTACTGTTCATCAGTAAACTTTGGCTTGTTAACTTTTGTTTTCACCTGTAGGAAAGTCTGATTGGGGGTTAAAAGGATCCTATATATACATATATATGTATGTATAGATCACAGTAACGATAATACTTGTTGAATACAGTTAAAGTGTCTACAGGATGCTCACCTCCAAAGAACACTATAGGATTATGATGAGCAAAAATACTACTTACTGATACTCGCTGAATTTCGTCTTCTATGTGCCCCTCACTTGTGACAACAATTCTGCTTTGCTGTCCACGCACAGAAGGGACAAGCTCAGAGGGACCAGAGGCTTCCTTCAGATGCTGCAAATAGTCATAGTCATCATCAAAGAAGACTCCATACTTCCGCTGCTCTTCCCTCCTTTGCTCCTCATGCCCCTGGGAATTGTAAAAAGAAATATATTTCGTTACTTAAGTCCATTTAAAACTTATTAGTAAAAAGTAACACATTTGTTGAGAATATCCCAGTTCTAAAGTTGTTGTAGTCCTCCTTCCACTCCCTACACTATTAAGTCCATTTAAAACTTATTAGTAAAAAGAAAAGTAACACATCTGTTGAGAATGCCCCAATTCTTAAGCTGTTGTAGTCCTCCCTCCACTCCCTACACTCTCACACAGCCCATAAGAACATTGTAACCACCTGGTTCAGTGTTTGAGTGCTGTCTGAGCAGGACCTGAAACAACTTTTTCCATAAGCAGAGTCACTAACAAAGCCTGTTTTTTCAGGGTAGGTCAGGCAATCTTTGTTCTTGTTTTAATATGTTTATATCCCTAACGCCAGTTAGTCATCCTTCAACCCATCAGGTAGTAACTCACGACTACCAAATTCCCTACAACGTTCCCTTTTTAAGTAAGCTGGACTAAAAACTACCTTGTCTCCGGCTTTTTGAACTGTATGATTGTATAAACACTTTTCTCTCCTGCAACATTTCTTATCTGAATGAATCTCAGTATTAAAAGCGAGTATTTACTTTCTGTGTAGGCAGCAGAACCCTCTGGGGTGCCGTATCATCAGCAGCAAGTGGGTCCCTCTGACTCCTGTGCACCAAGTGAAACGTTACCGCTTTCTTCTTGTCTATGAAGGGTTTCTTCTTCTTGTGAGGCTGCAAAAGGATATTTGGTTAATTGTTAATAAAAAATAAAATGCTAAATGCACCTAAAAAAGAATCTTTTGCCTGAAGCATGCTACTGCATTCCTTCCAAGGCAAGGTCTTATAAACATATACTTAGATGCAAAGCAAAAAGAGACCAGCTGTAGCTTAACTCTTCTTACCCCATGCACGACAGCCATTTCATACGTTCTAAAAGCACACGCAGCTGTACTCAGCTGCAAAGTGGCAATACATCAATACAATAAATATTTGATTATAGCATACACACATTAATATATAATTCTAGAACAGAATTTTTAAGCGACTACTTTCTAAACACTGGTCAAATCGGAAACAAACTTCATCCAATAAACACAGGAATTTCCTGACATAAGGAAATTCATCTAGACACACCTAGCTTCTTGAAAATTGTTTAGACAGCTGTTCCTACACCACTAATTCAGTATCAACCATGAAAGCCATCAACTGCACTATTAACACTGACACAGCTCTAACATCAATCCTAAAGTATTCTTAACTGGGTGAAAGCATTTTCTACACATTAGCACATCTGACTTAGAGAAATACTTCTATCAATAATTCCAGCTTTACTTACCTACCATAATGTGTTAATAGCAGATACATGCAACTTAACATAGAACGGTTTGGGCTGAAAGGGAGCTTAAAGATCATCCAGTTCCAACTCCCTGCCATGGGCAGGGACACCTCCCACCAGACCAGGTTGCTCCAAGCCCCATCCAGCCTGGCCTTGAACCCCTCCAGGGATGGGGCAGCCAGAGCTTCTCTGGGCAACCTCTTCCAGTGTCTCACCACCCTCACAGCAAAGAATTTCTTCCTAATATCTAATCTTAATCTCCCCTCTTTCAGTTTGAAACCTTTACTCCTCGTCCTATCGCTCCAGTAATCTCCCCTCTTTCAGTTTGAAACCTTTACTCCTTGTCCTATCGCTCCAGTCAACCTCACAGTGAAAAATTTCTTCCCAATATCTGATCTAAATCCACCCTCTTCCAATTCGAGGCCATTACCCCTCATCCTATCACTTCGTGCCCTTGTAAAATGCCTATTTGAAGCCATTACCCCTCATTCTACCACTTCGTGCCCCTGTAAAATGTCCCTCTCTAGCATTCTTGGCAGCTACTCTACAGCTCTAACCTTCTTTACCTGGTAACTTTAAGCATACAACATGATACATATAAAAACTCAGAGCGTATCAACTGCCACCATAAGCTTTGGGTTAAAAACCCCCGAAATGCGCTTTAAAATCTTATGCTTGGAGCAACCATAAAAAGAAACAAGAGAAGCTTTTGGAAGCAGGCAACCCGCAGCCCTCACGGCCCCCACCGGGGCGGCCCAGCCCGCTGGGGAGGCAAAGCCGCCCCTCGGCGACGCTTCTCCCAGGCCACCACGGCCGCCTGCGAGACATGGCAGCTGTCGAGGTCCCCCGCCCTCCTGTCTTCCTCCTCCTCCTCTTCCTCCTCACCATGGCGCGGGGTCAGGCTGGGCAGCACACGCTGCCCACCGGCAAAAGGAGCCGCCGCCGCCCTGGAAACACAGGCTCCACTCGCTCCCACGCGGGCCGGCCCCTCAGCACCCCCGAGCTGCCGCCTCCATCTTGGGATCAACCAGTGACCAGCGCGGGTGGGAATACTGAGAGGTTGCCGGACCAGATAAGTTTATTTCCCCCCAATAAAGAAAACAGAGGAGTTTCCTCAGAGTGAAACAGCGTTTTAATAAAGGAGGGACGCTCTTGGGATCAACCAGTGACCAGCGCGGGTGGGGATGGTGAGAGGCTGCCGGACCAGATAAGTTTATTTCCCCCAAGTAAAGAAAACAAGAGAGTTTCCTCAGACTGAAACAGCATTTTAATAAAGGAGGGACGCTCGCGAACGCAAGCAGATTACTTCCTCGCGCTCTCCAGAGGTATATTTTCTCCACTTCTGCCCCCCAAAACTGGTGGAGAATGGTTCCGCCCTCAGCGGCAGAACGCTTGACGGCCCGAGGCCAAAGGGCAGCGCGCGTGCGCAGCGGCCGGGCTGTCGCGACAGTAAAACACAATAAACTTTTACGAAGAAGCCGCATGAGGCGGGGGGTGGAGTAGTGTTCACTCTCTGTGTGGCCCGGCAGAAAGGGTCTCCTCAGCCAGCAGCTTCGGCAGGGCCGAGTGCCGGGTCCCGCACTTGGGTCACAACAAGCCCTGGTGCAGAGCGGCTGGAGCTGCCCGGCAGAAAAGGACCTGGGGGTGTCGGTCCAGAGTGGGCTGAACATGAGCCAGCAGTGTGTGCCCAAGTGGCCAAGAAGGCCAACAGCATCCTGGCCTGTATCAGGAATAGTGTGGTCAGCAGGACTTGAGAAGTGGTCATCCCCCTGTACTGGGCCCTGGTGAGGCCCCACCTCAAGTGCTGTGTCCAGTTTTGGGCCCCTTCCCACAAAAAAGACATTGAGGGGCTGGAGCGGGTCCAGAGAAGGGCAATGAAGCTGGAGCGGGGTCTGGAGAACAAATCTTATGAAGAGAGGCTGAGGGAGCTGGGGGTGTTCGGCCTGGAGAAAAGGGGGCTGAGGGGAGACCTCACTCTCTACAACTACCTGAAAGGAGGGTGTAGCCAGGGGGGGTCGGTCTTTTCCCCCAGGTCACAAGCAATAGGACAAGAGGAAATGGCCTCCAGTTGTGCCAGGGAGGTTCAGGTTGTTTATTAGGAAAAATTTCTTCACTGAAAGTGTTACCAGGCATTGGAATGGGCTGCCCATGGAGTTGCCTTCCCTGGAGGTATTTAAAAGACATGTAGAAGTGGTGCTGAGGGACATGGTTTAGTGTTAGCTGGCAGTGCTGGTTAACGGTTGGACTTGATATGAAGCTCTCTTCCAGCCAAAACGATTCTATGATTCTAGTGTCAGCTCTGACACACATCTTTGCAGTCTGGCTCCACGCGAGCTCACATCCAGGCTCAATTTGAAGGCTCCGGTAATATGTATTAATATTAACAGTGTTTCACCAAGATGATTAGCCACACATATATACACATATAATAGGTGGAAAAAACCTATCATACCTATACCAAATAGAATCATAGGATCATCTAGGTTGGAAGGGACCTTAAAGATCATCTAGTCCAACCATCAACCTAGACGATTTTATGATTCTATATATGAGTTCCTATTTCTTGTGATACGGTACTTTAGCTGTATAAGTTATACCTGTGCCATGTAGCAGCCTGTGTGTAAACACACAGACACAGGTACACACGCTCCTTGTTAAGAAAAAAAAAAAGTATGCTTGTTGTTTTACCAATATGATGTAAAAGCGTTTTGTTACATTTCAAAAAGAAAGTGTAAAACACAGAAGGGAGCAGTTTATTCCGTATGCATATAAACAATTTAAACAATAACAACTATGGAAAGTTGTTGCTGAAAATTAAGAAAGTATTTTCCACCTATTATGTGTGTATATATGTGCAGCTAAATGTATATTTGTGCAACTGCATTTGAGTGGATTTCATTGTTTTTCAGTAGGTGTCACTAAAGCTTCAAAAGAGCCCAGATTTTCAGTCTCCTGCCTGTTGTTTTCTGAAATCTTGCATCTTTACCATCAAGTTACATCACGTTGCTCTCACAGAAGCGTACAAATTAATTTGTTCTCCTCCATCAATTGAAATGAGTCCTATACTCAAGTTATCCCTGCAGATATTTGCACAAAGGCTAGACCTTCCTTTCCTCTTCCTTCCTAAAAGTACATCTTGTTGCTGTCAGCCTCTGAAGGTTGTAGTGCGCACCTCCTGGCACAGGAAGGCTGGCTTTTCACAAGGTGACTAAAAGCAGAATCACCCAACTTTTAAAAATACAGTGCTTAGTATTTAGCTGTGGGGTAACAGATCAGGTGCTCTGTATTGCTTTCAGGTCCCTGAGGTAGCTCTGGCATCCATAGAAGTGCAAAGTACTTGTACATAGACTTGGTAACAGGATTACACCTCACAATCCCCTGTGCCTGGTGACCCCCTGTCAAATAGTGGCAGTAATGTCATTCCATACACCCCAAATCTGGTCTAGGAGCATCACATCAGTCTGGAAGTATTTTAAAAATAACTACCACCTCTTTGAACACACCTCTGCATGAACACACCACCCACACGAGAGCTACCAGATATGTTTGAAGGACTCCCAAAATTCAAAGGAAGGTTTCAGGAACCTTCCTTCACCTCATTTCCATGCCAAGGGAGTTTTATTTTGGTCTCTAGAGGCCGCTTTCCAACAAGTAACAGCTCCCTGAAGTTAATTCTGTTACCCACACTCACGTACTTGCTAGAGATTCAAGAACAAAATACCTTCTGCAAAGATTTTCTGAACAATTTTATTGAGGTAATTTTCTTCATTTTATATTTTTATATATCTCCATTAACACATATCTATAATTCGAAGAGCTAAACAGTTGTCTAAGGCACTTGGAACTGTGCACAGCAGAGTATCCTACAGTACTGTACAACTAGGGCAGCACACAATTTTTTTTTGCTTGTTAAATAAAACCACCATAAAATAAGCATAATATATGCACTGTATAAAAAAGATAATATATATTCTACTTTTCAGATGACAATATTGGAATATATTTGTGTACGTGTGTATATCTAGGTATATACTACAGTACAAATAAAACCCCCAGAAACAGTTATCATTAATTTGTAACAATTCCAGTTATTTACATTCACAGATATCTACACACCTATGTAAAAAGCGGTATCAGATCAGCCACTTCTTTGTAGTTACCATATTCAATCACACTAAGCCAAGTTGCCAAAATACAGGTAAATGCATTTTATAATTGTTACATAAAATACACACTGCATAAGCTGAAAAGTTATCGGTACAGATTCTCCACAGCCTCACATCTTTTGAAAATCATTAAACATGTGGAAAGTACATTTTAAAATACCAGCATTTCTAAGCTGACGATGTTTCGGGTAGATTTTTTTATGGTTCTCAATAACTGTCCAGCATGAGGAACTAAGTTTTGAATTTTTGTCGTCTCTGTCATTGTCTTGAATTTTATTGTCTTTGTAAATAGGAACATTTAGTGAAATTCATGCAAGTTACTTTGAGCATAATTTATTTCTATTTTAAATCAAATTAATGGAAACACTAATGTCTTAAGAACTGGCCCAGCGCCTATTAATAGATGACACTCTCCATTATGTGCTGCAAAATTTTGATGCCAATGAATTAATGTGAAAAATTTCATTTCAGGTGATTGTGGCCCAACTATGGTATATTCAGCACCCAAGAACCTCCTGGCTTTACTGGACCCTCAAAAGACCCTGCTGGAGCTTCATCACCTGCACTGGTGAGGATGGGTTATCCATCCCTCCTTCTTGGAGTCATCTCTCAGAGGTGTCCTTGATTGGAAGATGCATGTGAGCAAGGATTTCTGCTACTGAGTAGTAGCTTTCCCCAGCGTGTTGCAGCCCTGCCAAGGAAATACACATTCTTGAACTCCCAGTGTTTAAAGTACAGCATACTAATATTGCTAATTGTTCCATAAAGAGTTGAGAAGGGATGCAAACTTATTAGTCCCTGAGTGTACAGAAGTGTTGTAGTCTGCAGCATTCTTGCATCTCTCATAGATTTGCAATTTGGTTGTAAATTGAATTCTGTTTCTGTTTTAGGGGGAAAAAATAATAAAAAAATAATCTCGATATCTATTTAAACAGTTGCAGCAATTAGCACGTGCCATCTCCACACCCTTCCCACCCCTACTCATTCAGTTAGATGCCCATTCAAACAAGCCATTAGTATCTTTTTTTGTTTCAAAGCACACCAGCTAAAATAATCATCCAAAACACAGAATTTTTTTAATTCCAAAATTTATACAAGTTTACAAATTAATATACCACCACACAAAGTAGTGAAAGGAAGAGAAGATACGTTCAGCAACATTTTGCTATTTTATAACAATGTTCAAATATGGTTAAATTTGACATAGTATTGCAAGACTTTTTTAATATAAAGAATTAATGATTGAACAAGGAGACACAAAGAATACCATTACTTTCTTTGTACCTATCCAATGCAATATTTAGCTTCTAGAAAATAATGAAATATTGGTGAAATGCTGTATCTAGTTCCTATGAGCTCTATTTCCATTAAAATCCTGAAACAAGATGGGAACAATGACAAACAATGAAAGAAGACCTTATTAATCATTAAAGCTAATAAATAGAAACGTGACAAAACATTACAGTGAAATATGTTATTTTTACTCCATCTCTCCTTTTCTCTATATAGCTAGACTTCCATAAATTGTTTTTTTTAATTTTGGTTTTTTGTTGGTTTTGGGTTTTGTTTTTGTTTTCAGATATCTGTTAAATAGAAGTCTTAAGCTATTCAGTGGAGTTTACTTTGATTTGATCCTCTAAATATTTTAATATCAAACTAATAAAAACTTTCAGAATTGCTTTTTTTCGTTCATCAAAAGCCAGGTCCCAGCAGTGAGCATTACACTGAGCTCTGTACAAGAAGAATAAAGATAGCAACATTAATGGAGCTAAATGTGGAAGTTCCTAAAGGCAGGAGGCAAATTTATTCTGGTTTTCACCCTGAGTATGTCTTTATTTTAGCTTACAGCAGTGACACAGGCCTGAAATCCTTGGGATACGTATAAAAACAGATGATGTCAAAGATTTAAAAGACGTAGTTCTGTTATACCTGACAATTTCATGCAAATGCAGGCTTTTAGCTTGGTTTGCTTTATCATTAAAGCATTAACAGACATTAGGACATGAGCTCATGCTCTAGTCTGTAGGATGGCAGCAATGCTGAACCAGACCTGTCCTCCTGGTGCCATCTGCCAAGTATTGAGGTGACAGTGTGGCTTTCCCTACCCTGGCTCCTGCTCCCAGCTGCAGCCCACGAGGGGGTTTTCTTGGATTCCTGGGCTGCCAGACTAGATAGATGTTTTGAGTCTGTGCTGGCTGCATCTTCTTCCCATTTTATGATTCAGGCTATATTTATATTCGGGTTAAGTGACAGCTCTGATGTAGCTGTAGTATTACTAGTCACAGATCTGGGTTTGAAGCATCTCTGCTGGAAACAAAGCACTAATCTCACCTGGAAGGAGGGGGTCTAATTTCTGTAATATCAGGGATACTTTCATCCCTTTGTTTCACGTCTTTCATTTGGTTTTTAAGGGAAACAACAAAAAAAGTAAAAAACAAAGCGGTCATCTGATATGTTTTTCACATGTCAGCACTGAGGTTGTGGTGCTTCTCTAAGAGCTCAGTGTGGCCAAAGCAGGTGGTGGGGCTGCCCTGCCCCACACCACATCAGAGGTCGGTCAAGTCCACCACAGCACAGGACACACAAAACTGTACACAAATGCTAAAACCAACAAATAAATACAATCTTGTAGACCTACAAATGGCTGCGAATACTTGCAGTGATTTTTGAAGAGACACTGCTCCTGGTCCTACCTTGTTTCAAATCACTGGTCACAATGGTATTGAGCTTAAATAATTGTAACCATTTAGCTTAAATAATTTTTTTTTGGTACTTGTTTACTCAACATTTACATCACAATTCAAGGAAATGTAGATAGGGTTTTTTTCATTTGAAACAACTAATTTCAGTTATAAGGACTAATATGTATTACCTGAAAGAAGAAAGAGATGACAACATTCTAGGACAGTTTCAATTTGTTATGTGAAGAAGAAATTAGGGTTTGATTAAGCATCCGTTCTCCTGCACCCACAGCAACATGCTGTGATGTGTGATCCTACTGATAAATGTGATATATGAGGTAATTTCAGAAACCACTGCTTCAAGCTACTCATTTTCTCTTTGTGTGCGTGTAAAAGTTCATATCTGATTCTGTGGAACACAGGTATGTGTGTCAGGTTTAGCATATGTTCTGGATGACATTTTAATGATTTGTCCAACTTGATAAAAATTAACATGTTGATCTCTTTTCACCAGCTGGATTGTACGATGTGTTACATGGAAAGTGTTATTTTTTCTTTGCCTTTTTTACATCTTCTTACTTTTTTTCCCTCAAGGATTTCTCACTCAGGAGTTTCTCAGGACTTATCCTGAGTTTTCCCTTCTAACAGGCATGCAGCACCAGAGGCAGTCAGATACATGATGTATCATTTCCAATGGGCTGTTGTAGCAACGTGGAGACATTTGAAATCATCAATATAGAGGATTAGGAGATAACAGCAGAAACCAACTTCAGGCAGCTCAATAAGGTAAAGCAAACTTGCTTCACTGCACGTAGTGACATACCAAGAGCTTGTTATTTTTTATTGCATGGATAACACTTTACAGCTGTCTTTTTTCTGCCAGTTGATATTTGGAATATAAAAATAGTATATACAATTCTGTGGGGGGGTACAATGCACAATAGATAGTTTATAGTTCTAATTCTGCAAATATACTACGTTTTTACAGAAGTTCCAATAAAGGCAACTCTTCTAGTCCAGTTACGTAACTTTGCTTAAGTAGTTTGCTGAATTGTGGGCCAAAGAATGCACCTGATTATTTATCATCAAAATAATAAGAAATTACATGAGAAATTAAAGATTTAGCTCAGCATCTCTATGTAGACTAGTATTCTGCCTCTAGCAATGGCTTGTAGTGAATACTTTAAAAAACCCCAAATGCAGAAGGAGGACAGGTAAAACCTAAGCGATATCTCACCTTTGTATCCTCATGTCAAATGCAGCTTGAGGAAGTCTAGGCCAGAAGTTGTATCCTCATCTTTGTGTTTTAGCTCTTGAAACAAGAAGGTGCCACGTGTCTTTCCATCCATGTTCCAGGCCTAGTAGAGAGGAACATCTTCTTGCAAAGTCAATTCATTGGCTTCATCCTAAGAGTTTTAGCAACTTTTAGTTTCCTTGTGTGAGCCGTACGTGCCCTGGCATATCAGTGGAGCTACTGTCTTATATAAAGTTTATATAGTCTGACCTTACCTTGGTCCAAGTTACTCTGCCTGTGCAACAGCCATCTTTCGGCCTTTAGAATCTTGGCTGCTTTCAAACATTTCAAAGTCATTAAGGCAGCACTGAGGTCTATTTAATTGCTCCGCTTGTTCCCTTTGAAGTGAAATGCTGTGTTTTATACTTCAAAGTCAACATAGCAGGCCTTTATAGGCTTTGGACACACATTTCTAAATTTGGCAACAACAACAACGAAAAGTTTAAGCAGGAGAACTATTTATTAAGTACCAGTGAAAGTTTTAAGTTTACTCTTCAAATTCTAAAAATAATAATTAGGGTTCTACCAGAATTGCTGACAAATCTTAACTCTAATGACCTGATCATTCCTGTATGATTTAGTGCCAAAGAATACATTTTCACCGTTTCCTTGATGTCAAAGTGGTGCTTCTATATTTGTAAAATGATGGGCCTCACAGAAGCTAAACTGTTTTCTGCAAATGGAATCCTAATGGCTCTTATTGATTCCATTAAAAAAGGAAGGTGCTGCTTCCTTTTCTTTGCTACAAGCATGTAGATGGTTATTTTATGTGGTTATTGATATTTTGGGCTCTGTACGTCATTAGATTTTTACTAAAATGTAAATGATCCTAACAGTCATGTAAATTTATCTTTTTTAAAAAAGGTTTGTCAATCTCTTTAAAAATAATAGAGTGACAGCTGTTGGAAAGCACTCTCCTGTTACCAGAAGTGCTCTTTACTAAAATAATCTACCCCATTTATGCAAACCTGGTCTTCTTGTAAATATCAGTAAAGAGGGAGATCTAATTTTAGCCACCAAATTGCCTTCCTGCCTTTAGGCTGACATCTAAAACAACAACCTTCAATTTTGTAAATGAAAAACATTCCACAAGAATCTCTTCCAGGTTCTGAGGTAAAAATCACATCTACACAGACCTTTTATTGCCTGAAAAAGAAATACTTACACTTCATAATTAAAAACTAAACAGGGCACATAAAAGACAAAAATAAATTGTAATATGTACACACATTAGAAAGGATAAATATCAAATATATTGTAATACTGCATTAAATGGATGCATATGTGAATTCCAGACCCCCCCCCAACGTTGTGTACATTAATTCAAAGGATAAATAAGTGCTAATATAAGACAGAATTTCTTAGTGTAAACAACGCCACAGGCTTTTTAATAGGCCTTTGGGCCAACTTAGAAAAACCATGTATTGCCTTTCACACTCCATACCACTTATTTTTAATAGTACTGTATTCACATGTACAATTTCAAGATAGTATAAAAAATTAGGAATCTAAGAAGCATTCTTCACACTCATCAAAAACAAACTGCAGACACTCTAAGGATTTTCCGTTCACTTTTACAGGACCAGTAGCTGAAGACATACTGATTCATCTGTGAGTTCTTCCTCAAAGCAGTGCAAGAGTCCTTAAACGTAAAAAGTCACATCAGTAATCACTGCTCAAGCCTACTAGCAAAGACTTTTGTGCCTAATTCCAATTCTGATTTTGGATTCACACTAGCATGATGTCAAAGTTGCCACCACTGCCTGCCATGGGTGAGAAAGATAATGATCCCTCTGGTTCGAATGGCAAGTGACAGACAGCAAGGAGTGTTTCTAAACACGAAGCATTTCATTGCATTCATAGTGTCACGTTATTTGTCCTTCAAATCCTGTTTAGGTGTTTCTGAGGATCCAGGGTATGTCAACGTTAAAAACCAAAAAAAATGTGTGACTTTTTCTGTGTGAACGTTCAATGTATGTTCTTGAAGCATGCTCACTGGGATTTTAAAAAAGACAGCCGAGTTATGCTAGGACTAATTTCTGGCAACTGTATTTACTGGCACCAAAGAAAATTACAGTTCTTCACTAAAGTACTGATGACATGAGGACTTGTGGCTTGCTGTCTTTCTAAGACAGGCTGTGGCCACTAAAAGAAATACATGCACAGTTGCTCATACTCTTTTTTAAAAAAAAAAAATAATAATTCCCCCCACTGGCCAAGTGCATCATTAAGCAGTCCCATCCGGTCCACTTTTCTCTGCGGACTGACAAGCGAAGTCTCTCTTCCCTGATGCTCTCAGTCCTTTCCACGCTCCCCCCTCTCCATCACCCTCAGTCACAACCCTACGGAGTTTGATGAGATCCTGGCAACAGGCTCTCAACCGATTGTCTTCAGCTCTTCTTGACTTGTGGAGCTCTGACGAAGAAGTCCACCGACTCGTCTGTGTGGGTTTAGCCACGGAATCGTGGTCTGTCTTAACCATGACAAACACTTCATGTGGGTTCTCCTCCCAGACAAATCATTTGTCCCTTGATAAAGACGAGGGCCACATCCTTCATGAACCTCAGGGTAAGCTGTAGCACACACTCACACTCAGTCCAGTTCCAGTGCAATCTCAGCTCATCAGGATGCAATGACTTCCCCAAAGAAAATTCTTACATGAAATATGGGATGCGGTCAGACAGTTATGGACGATGAAACCTGAAATGAGAAATCATTAAAAAACTTAGAATTACATTCTTTCAACCGACAATGACAATGATCTTCACCCTTCTCCCACAGCTGTTTACTTGTGTTGCCTGAACAGAATTATTCCTGGTTTTCCTGGTCTAAGTGGGATTGAATCAGCTCTATCATCCCCTGCTGTCTGTCCTTCTCTACTAGAAAACCAAATGGGGCCACGGTGTGGCTTGCACACTGGTGTTTGTCTGTCTGTCCATACCATTAACCTGTTACCCATGGTCCCTGGCACAGTTTTGCATGGCTCAACCAGCACTCTTCCAGATTCTGCCTGGGCATGGCTGTGATTAGCCCAAGCTGTGTATGGGGGGACATCACCCTGTTTTGGGGTTGGGAGAAGAGGTTGACTGTATGAATTCAAGCTGTGCCAAACCTGCTGGCCTCAAGGCTGGAGAACAGTCTCCAATCTGTTTTGTTTACCAATATAGCTTCAGCCAGATTGCATTTACTATTTGGAGACACTGTAGATAAGTCAGAAAAGCTTTGCTATGGCATAAAACTTAACATTCTGATTTTTTTAATCCTTCCACAAAATGAGGCTAACAAAAAATTTGGATTTTTTTTTTTAATAAGCAACAAATTTTATAGCACTGCAGATGCTTTCATCCTATTAACAGCAGCCAGCTGTGGCACATGAAGGCCCAAATACACCTTGTTGTTTCTTAGACTTTTAGGTAGGGCATGTATGTTGCTCCAGATTGCCTGTATGATGGATAGAGAGGTGGCTTCCTCCAAAGGGTGATCCCAACCTTTTCCTGGAGTAAGTTGGGAGCCTACAGCAATTGAAATTCAAACTCAGCTTAAATGTAATGAATCCAAGCAAAAGGGTAAGAAGGGCACCAATATCAGGTGTTCAACATCTCTATCCCCAGACTTCTAAATCTCTGTTTAAATGGCTTTAAAAATATATCTATCCATGAAGTAGTAAAAGATGCAACAACTTTAAAAAAAAGCCTAGTTAATGATGCACTTAGCAGAGTACATTTACATAAGTTTTTCTTTGACACATTTTCTCTTAACAGTTCTGGAGAGGAGAAAAGAAAACAAGCCACACGTTACCCTTGTAACGTGGCTCAATACAATACAGGGATGCATTTCTCAAAGAAAGGAGGTGTACACAAAAGCTGACATTCACAAGTACAGAGCTCATCTGCTCCGTGAGGGTACCGTGCATTGCAAAAAAAAGACACAGGGTTTTTGTATCTCTGCAGAACAACAGTATCTTGGACTACATCTAGCATTTCCATTCGAAGCTCTTTTATAAACATCTACTAATATCCTCTTCCCGAACTTTTATTTATGTCCCTATTTTTAGAAACTCAGTTTCTTGGATTCTGTTATGAAATAAAAGAAGGAATCAGTCTAAATTCCGAGGAGTAGAGAAACAGTTCAACTGACAGTCATTACAGTAAATGATGAACAAGAACCAGTGTTTTTCTTTTCCCAATTTTTTATGTCCCTATTTTTAGAAACTCGGTTTCTTGGATTCTGTTATGAAATAAAAGAAGGAATCAGTCTAAATTCCGAGGAGTAGAGAAACAGTTCAACTGACAGTCATTACAGTAAATGACAAACAATGAGAACCAGTGTTTTTCTTTTCCCAATTCTAACAGAAAATGTTAACAATTCAAAGATACTGTAAATACTGATTGTAACACTAAAGCATCTTATACTGAATATCTAATAATATATGAAACCATATGCTATAAGCAATATTTTGTTTAATAAGCAGCTTCCTTGTTGTCTCATTCTACCACAGAACTTCACGAATCAGCCTTTGTTAACCAGCTGCAAATTCAAGTGCCTTTTGGTTTCTATCACCTCAGTGATCATTCTTGAAAAAAATTAAAAGCTGAGTAATTAATTCTCTGGCCAGAAACTTTTGTCTGTCTTTTTCTTAAAACAAATCACTTTCGTTGTATCCATCCAAATGTAGTGGCAACTACATAATCTTTAATGAGAGGTCCCAGAGGAAACCAAATCTCTCTTTATTTTCAAAATTGCAGTTGACTTAAAACATCTGTATCTAATTCTGTTCTTAATTAGCTTTTTCTACTGTTACTCTGCTGACTTCTGTGCAGTGGCTCCACAACATGACCAATGAAATAAACAGGGTGGGGAGAGAACAGAGAAAGCCTGATTTCCCTCAGGTTGAAATTCTTCCAGGACCATGTATTTATCAATTTGTCTGTGCCTATTTTTTGACTCCATTTTCCAAGGCCCTCCTTAGGAAAAAAATTCACTTTTTAACTGGTTTGTCATTCCGCTGAATCCCTGAGATTTTTGGTTCGTCTTTCAAGAATCCAGCTGTAATCGGTCTCAACTGTTTTCAATTCTTGTGAAAAAATAACCAGTTCTTTTTATGACTCATTCCTATCTGTACTTACGTTTCTATATTGCAATGCAACTCAAAAAAAACATAACAACATAAGCAGGAGGTCGCACTCCATCTCTCTCAGCACACAGCCAGGTTTCTATTCCTGCTCATTTTCCTTCTCTCCCTTGGGATGCCCGTTTTCTTAAAGTACTATTTTTATATATTCGGAAGAAGATATACTACCTATTGCCTGAAGAGAAAATGACATCGGAAGCCAGATGAAAATATACAAATCCATGTTTGAAAAGGCTCCTGCCTCCTGGTTCATCTCCTGGTTTAGTTTTGCTGCCTGTGAAACTGGTTTAATTTTCTTTAAATTAATTTATTCATGTATATTCATGTTATACATGAATAAACAGTACAGTGAAGTGGGTTTATCGTATCATAGGAAAAGCCATGTTTTGGTGCAGGAAAATCACTGAAGTTGTGAAATCCAGCACTGAACTAGGAGATGCCAGAACTCACCAAAACCCCATCTCCCATGGTGAATTTTCCTTCTGACACTGTCTTTAATTAGAGGATTCACAGTCGCCTGTGCAGATCCTAAGTTTGATTAAAACAGCAGCAGGAAAAGGAAGGGACACGGTCATAGCCAATTATTTTGATTTGACTTTACTCTGCGTGGAGGTGAAGATAATAATGCTATCTCTGCAATGTTGGCTGATCCCAACAGCAAGTTCTGCTCAGCCTTTGTAACTTCAAAAATACAGATGCCATGGGGATGGCAGAAAGCACCTCCCTCCTCCTAGGGAATAAATCTGCAAAATTGGAAGACTTGCTAAAAACTGTGGACGCTTCAGAGCTCTTTAAATCATAATGCTTCGAACAACATCTTGGTGTTATCCAGGACAGAGAATGAAACAAATCCAGATTAATACATTAGAAGCAGCAAACAAGGAATATGAGAATCTGTCTTTTCCCCCTGAAACTGCTGCCAGGAGCCTAGAAAGCTCCCCAAAACACTGATAAGGTTTTTTGAAGTTCAACACATCATCTCGTTTTCACTTAGCAAACGCATCTACAAATATGTGTAGCTCTGATGAGCAGGGGAGTACTGCCAGAGAAGGACATCCTTTATTATGAGATGCTGAGTCCTTTCAAAGGATTATTTTTTTAGATTTCCCAAACAATCTTTTTCCACTTAGTGACTGATCCATTGCAGTCACCAGCACTGCTGTATCAACCACTCAGCTTCAGGGATGGCACCAGCAACACTGGGGATCCCACCAGAATCAGTGGTGGGATTCAAGTAGGAATCTACACAAGGAACCAGCCATGACACAGCCACAGAGGACTTGCAGAAAGGCAGAGGGTCGCTGTTGTACTCATCTCTATGACTTATGCAAGAAGAGGGATTCACCCACCTGGTAAATTGCCGACTTTCCTCGTGTACTTCCATTTCTGTGCTTTTAAATTCATTCAGTTCTTTCCGTATTGCTGCCTAATAAACAATAATGATATATGCAACCATAAGAAATAGGAATATTAAGGAAAGTAAAGAGTCTGAAAGGAACCTGGCCCTACTCTTGCAGGTTCCCATACAGCTCCCATTTTCCAGTCACCATGAAGAAACTCAAAGCATCAAACACTAACAATAAACAAAGCAACCCCAAATCTCCTGCAATGGGTGAACCAACCCCCTCACCGCAATATGGTACTTGCTATGGACAAAAATGGACAAACCCCAGGGACCGGGTCACCTCGAGTGTCACCTGCTGAGAACGAAACTGCGAGGGGTAAGATCTGTGGGGGCAGCCCCCGAGGAGGTGGTGAGTCACGCTGTACACACAGCAAGGGCCCTCCATCTCCCCACCGGGGACAGGGCTTCAGGAACGCAAGACACCAAACACTAACAATAAACAAAGCAACCCCAAATCTCCTGCAATGGGTGAACCAACCCCCTCACCGCAATATGGTACTTGCTATGGACAAAGATGGACAAACCCCAGGGACCGGGTCACCTCGAGTGTCACCTGCTGAGAACGAAACTGCGAGGGGTAAGATCTGTGGGGGCAGCCCCCGAGGAGGTGGCGAGTCACACTGTACACACAGCAAGGGCCCTCCAGATCCCCACCGGGGACAGGTCTTCAGGAATGCAAGATGAGCAGCAGGTTTTAAGTGGAATTAGTCACTTGGTTTGATTAGTTTTATGTAAAATTACGTGAAATATTTGGACATTTCGGGCTTGTGTTTTCAGTTGGCAGATTCTAAAGGACAGCAGAAATTCAGTGCAATTTGTAAACGCCTTGTTGCTTATGTTAAAAGAGTGATAAGCAATTTACTTCATCAAGCAACACATATAATTTCTGAAATATTCTAATAGATACAAGTGGCTTTTGCTTCTATCCCATATGCTTTCCTACTTCCACTGTGAAATGAAGCAACAGTTTACTCTTGCTCCCTCTCTTCTTTCAGCATTTCAAATAAAAGCAGTGTCATTTCATTACTCCCTAAAGAAATCTCATCTGGTGTGCATGCCTTTCAGTGCAGAACAGACAAGCAGCGTGATAAAATTATAGCATCACCAGACTGCGGGCTCGTAAATGAGAAACTTCATTTTAAACAGGGGATGGTTCTGTTTAGTCACAACAGCTTGCTTACAGGATGCTGCTGTAATAGCTAGGAAAGAGACAGCTATTTCTGAGCAGCAAAGACACCAGAGCTCCAGCTCCATAATATAGTTACAGTAAAATTTTCTGCTCCCACTGGAATTAGAAAAATTACTTCCCTGGGGAAAAAAAGGGCCAGGGAGTTTCCAGGCAACCCAGGGTCTGCTTTTCTGCTGATGCAAACAAACATGGGGATCACAGAACCAGCCTTGGGCACCTCCTCATTACAAAATGAATTGAGATGAAAAACTGCTGCCCTAAAGTAGGTGGGAAACTCTGCTGGGTTTTTTTCTAGTGTAGTTTACCCTGGTTGGACCAAGGTGAAAGTGGAGGTAGGTGCTGGGTGCTCTAACCTCCCACAGGCTACGTGAGGACTAGAGAGTGCTCTCCACCTCCCAGAACCACCTTTCTAACTTCAAAAGATCGAGATGCCATGGGCATGGCAGAAAGCACCTCCCTCCTCCTAGGGAATAAATCTGCAAAATTGGAAGACTTGCTAAAAACTGTGGACGCTTCAGAGCTCTTTAAATCATAATGCTTCGAACAACATCTTGGTGTTATCCAGGACAGAGAATGAAACAAATCCAGATTAATACATTAGAAGCAGCAAACAAGGAATATGAGAATCTGTCTTTTCCCCCTGAAACTGCTGCCAGGAGCCTAGAAAGCTCCCCAAAACACTGATAAGGTTTTTTGAAGTTCAACACATCATCTCGTTTTCACTTAGCAAACGCATCTACAAATATGTGTAGCTCTGATGAGCAGGGGAGTACTGCCAGAGAAGGACATCCTTTATTATGAGATGCTGAGTCCTTTCAAAGGATTATTTTTTTAGATTTCCCAAACAATCTTTTTCCACTTAGTGACTGATCCATTGCAGTCACCAGCACTGCTGTATCAACCACTCAGCTTCAGGGATGGCACCAGCAACACTGGGGATCCCACCAGAATCAGTGGTGGGATTCAAGTAGGAATCTACACAAGGAACCAGCCATGACACAGCCACAGAGGACTTGCAGAAAGGCAGAGGGTCGCTGTTGTACTCATCTCTATGACTTATGCAAGAAGAGGGATTCACCCACCTGGTAAATTGCCGACTTTCCTCGTGTACTTCCATTTCTGTGCTTTTAAATTCATTCAGTTCTTTCCGTATTGCTGCCTAATAAACAATAATGATATATGCAACCATAAGAAATAGGAATATTAAGGAAAGTAAAGAGTCTGAAAGGAACCTGGCCCTACTCTTGCAGGTTCCCATACAGCTCCCATTTTCCAGTCACCATGAAGAAACTCAAAGCATCAAACACTAACAATAAACAAAGCAACCCCAAATCTCCTGCAATGGGTGAACCAACCCCCTCACCGCAATATGGTACTTGCTATGGACAAAAATGGACAAACCCCAGGGACCGGGTCACCTCGAGTGTCACCTGCTGAGAACGAAACTGCGAGGGGTAAGATCTGTGGGGGCAGCCCCCGAGGAGGTGGTGAGTCACGCTGTACACACAGCAAGGGCCCTCCATCTCCCCACCGGGGACAGGGCTTCAGGAACGCAAGACGAGCAGCAGGTTTTAAGTGGAATTAGTCACTTGGTTTGATTAGTTTTATGTAAAATTACGTGAAATATTTAGACATTTCAGGCTTGCGTTTTCAAGTTGGCAGATTCTAAAGGACAGCAGAAATTCAGTGCAATTTGTAAACGCCTTGTTGCTTATGTTAAAAGAGTGATAAGCAATTTACTTCATCAAGCAACACACATAATTTCTGAAATATTCTAATACATACAAGTGGCTTTTGCTTCTATCCCATATGCTTTCCTACTTCCACTGTGAAATGAAACAACAGTTTACTCTTGCTCCCTCTCTTCTTTCAGCATTTCAAATAAAAGCAGTGTCATTTCATTACTCCCTAAAGAAATCTCATCTGGTGTGCATGCCTTTCAGTGCAGAGCAGACAAGCAGCGTGATAAAATTATAGCATCACCAGGCTGCGGGCTCGTAAATGAGAAACTTCATTTTAAACAGGGGATGGTTCTGTTTAGTCACAACAGCTTGCTTACAGGATGCTGCTGTAATAGCTAGGAAAGAGACAGCTATTTCTGAGCAGCAAAGACACCAGAGCTCCAGCTCCATAATATAGTTACAGTAAAATTTTCTGCTCCCACTGGAATTAGAAAAATTACTTCCCTGGGGAAAAAAAGGGCCAGGGAGTTTCCAGGCAACCCAGGGTCTGCTTTTCTGCTGATGCAAACAAACATGGGGATCACAGAACCAGCCTTGGGCACCTCCTCATTACAAAATGAATTGAGATGAAAAACTGCTGCCCTAAAGTAGGTGGGAAACTCTGCTGGGTTTTTTTCTAGTGCAGTTTACCCTGGTTGGACCAAGGTGAAAGTGGAAGTAGGTGCTGGGTGCTCTAACCTCCCACAGGCTACGTGAGGACTAGAGAGTGCTCTCCACCTCCCAGAACCAACAGCTACAAACACTTCTGGGTACGTTTTTAATGTCTCCACCTTGACTTGATATACAAGGGTCTCCTTTGATTTTCAGATGAGCTGGCATTAATAGTAAAATACAAGCTGAAATAAAATCAGTGCTTCTCAGTCTTTAGCTAAAAGACAGCGAGTTCTTGCATGCATCACTTTTCACGCCAACCACATCTCACACGATTTCCATAAAAGTTGGTTCAGACCCAGTGCTGAAGGCGCCAGCACTATTTGATAGATAAATCCTACAGTTTTCCTCTTATTAAGTGGAATAGGAGGAAAATGGAAGAGTATTTCATAGTAATCTTTGACTGATCTGTTTTTTACAAGAGAATCACAGAATTTGTCTCATCCTTTGTAGTTAGGCAGAGGAATTATTAACTGCACCATTTGGGGTGCAAACTCCCCCCAAAAGTATGCTGCATGTGTATGGTCAGCTCCTGCACTGACGGCTATGGCCAAGAACCCTAATGAGGATGGAATTGTCTCATCCTTTGTAGTTAGGCAGAGGAACTATTAACTGCACCATTTTGGGCACAAACTCCCCCCAAACTCCCACCCTATGTGCTGCACGCATATGGTCAGCTCCTGCACTGACGGCTGTGGCCAAGAACCCTAATGAGGATGGAGCAGCTTCTACCTTTTTTCACTTGAATGACTTGCAAAAGTAACTCATGGTGGGAGTGACACGGGCTTCTGCCAGCAGAAACCTTGCCTGAACACAGGAGGGATGGGGAGGGAGTGGGGCAATAGGACGAGGGGGAACAGTTTTAAACTGAAAGAAGGGAGATTTAGACGAGATATTAGGAAGAAAACCTTTCACGAGGGGGAACAGTTTTAAACTGAAAGAAGGGAGATTTAGACTAGATATTAGGAAGAAAACCTTTCTTGAGACACTGGAACAGGTTGTCCAGAGAAGCTGTGGCTGCCCCATCCCTGGAGGTGTTCAAGGCCAGGCTGGATGGGGCTTTGAGCAACCTGGTCTGGTGGGAGGTGTCCCTGCCCATGGCAGGGGGTTGGAACTCGATGGTCTTTAAGGTCCCTTCCAACTCTAACCATTCTATGATTCTGTTATCCATCTTTGCTTAGAGTGTGTGCCTGGCTTAGCAAGGCTTTACAGATGCAAGAAATTCTGGCCTGAACTGCTATAATGGAGGTGGGAAATAGGCTCTTAATAGGCATCTGAGTGGGTTTTCTGAGCTGCAAGGAGTAGGTGCACAGTAGCACCGTGACAATCTTGCTGCCTCCAGCAGATGTCATGCGTGATGCTGGCATCAAAAGAATGTAAGCCAGAGGAAAGTCCCCCCAAAAAGTGACAGGTGCAAGCATTTTCTTATAATCTACATTTGTCCCTTGCCTTGTCTGCGGGAGTTAACCTGGCCCAAGGCTTGTCGGCACGACGGTCGTAATCCGGAGAATCTGTGACCTCCACGTACTCGTTAAATCGAAGGATTCTTCTTGCTTGAAGTTCAGCCACTGTAGGCCTCAGGCTGAGCTGGAAGTGGGAGGCAGAAAATAGTACATTTAATAAGATGAAATAAAATAAAATAAAAGCTAGGGGTATGATGTAATCTCAAGAGAACTTTAATGGTATTTCTAAATAGGGTCACTTTCAGGTGTCTAAAAAAAGGCACCATCCTGGGAGCGCTGCACGGGAATGGGGAAGCAGCACAACCTAATTTCTCCAATTATAAAAATAGTCTTTGTTGGGCAGGTCAGAGAGAATCGTGACAGTTATCCCTGGAATATTAATTGTGACTTTGCAACTGTCACACCGTTTACCCCACTAGGCAGTAGGTCCATCTGCATTAACGATTACAGAGTCTGCTGTGTTCAACTATAATACTGAAAATAAGCAGGATGTGGAGGTGCCACCCTAACTAAAAACATTGATTTTGAACATCTGGAGGTCATTATGATGCCAAATTGTATCACTTCACATGATATTCGCTTTAATTAACTATGGAGGATTCTATTAAGGAAACTGTATTTTGGCAGAGAAGGGCGGACTAGGGCTATGTATGAGAACAACCCCCATCCTCTTCCAGTACGAGCTCCCAAAGGCAGGGCAGAAGATCCATAACTGCTTAATTTTCCAGGGGCCATGAGGACATTCCTGATGGCTGATGCTGCTTTGCTGCTCTAGGGAAGAGCAGATCTACAGGTGGGGCTGCCCTCGAACATATGTGACAGCAGTGGTCATGCTCACAAACACATCTCGTTTCTCTCTCACGTTTCCATGGACAAATATTAAGCATGGCCAGACTCCATGTGTTTTTCCAGCTATGGGAAACTGGACAGGATGGAGTTTCCCCCAAGAAGGACTTGGCTTGTACTTTCTAATCCGGGGGCACGACTGATGGACGTTTGCAATAATGTATACACACGGATTTTTAGAATCCTGTAAAAAATAATCCTACGTACATAAAATACACAATACAAAAACCACATAATCACCTTTCTACTGAGTCTACGTTTTATTTCTCTTTTGGCTTCCTGTTCTTCTTCTTCATTCTTCTCTGTTTTCAAAAGAGATAAAAAGCAGTGAATATTTAAGTATTATAACTGCACATACTGTATTTCTCTTAGTTGAAAGCTTCAGGACTTCAAGCCCTGGCTCACGCTTCCTCGTATTTCTGGGTGATCCTGCCTATGTTTTCTGCTTTTTGGATTTTGTCTGCTCTCATTTCTTTTCCCTACCCTCATTTTCCCTGATTCTGTAGACATCTCAAGTCACCACTGTGGGTCAGGAACACGGCAAAGAGGCGGCGGCGCCTGCTGTTCCCTTTCTGTGTTAACAGCAAATAGAAAGTACCCTGACAGAGCTGCCTAATGTTTCAATTACTTGTCCCAACATCAAAATCACTCTTGCTTTAACTTCCAACATGCCACCTACTGACTTTAGAGCCTAATTATTCATAAGGGTAGAAAAAAAAAGTTTGCCCTGAGTATCTGAATCAGCAGAGTGTCCTGTACTGCTACAACGAGTCAACGACAATTGGTTTCACTCAGTTGGGTTTGTTACTTTAATATATTTTTTTTCTGATTTTATAACATCGGCATATGATTCGGTACTCAACCCTCTTGGTGAAGGGCCACTAGCTAGACCAAATGAACCAGGGCAGCAGAAAATGACATGTGCGTTTTTTGAGTGTATTTGGGCATGAGATTGAAATGTGCTTTTAACAAATTTCACTGCTAACCAAACTTGATTTCCTTAGTTCCAGTGAAAATCACAAAGGCACATTCATATGGCCTCAGCAGTTTTTTAAATTGAGGTACATTCTGAAGAATATTATTTGCCCTTTCCATCCACCTCTGATGGCTATATACAAAGTTAACTTTGTTGTGGCTGAAATATCCCACCTAGAGACATCCATAAAATTCTGATCCTGTTTTATTCATAGTTAGGGGTTACGGACTACTAGGTTAGATCTAGTGTTGATGGTGATTTTACTGAGATACTGAAATGTGAATGTAATTTATGGCTTATTAATAATTTTTCTCTTAAATGGTGAAGAAATGGATGGCCTGTTTTCATAGGGGAGCTGTAACCTGACTAAAACTGAAGAATGGAGAGTTAAAGACTGATCTACATTTAAAAATTTTTTATTATTGTATCTACCAATAATGCAAGTTGAACGCATTTAAGGACTTATGACTTCAAATGAGAACTCCTTTTATAACACCTTCAACTAACAAAATCAAAAGCTCTCTAGGTGTTTTAGGACAGGTAAATCTTTGGTAGGTTTTTGTTTAACCACACAGTCTTTGCAATCAATAGACATAGTAACCGAGGTAATTAAACACAAGCTATTACTTTGGGGTTCCATTCACCTGGGAATGGTTTGACATAAAAAAAATTTTGTCCCTTCATGAACCGAGTTGCTTAAGTCTCAGAAATTCTCCAGCAGCAGACACAGCAGGAAAAACGCAGCTGGATACACACATCACTGTGCTGCCTTCTCCTTAATTTACTTTTTACATTCTTCATTATTCATACCTTGACATTTCTTTGCTATCTAAACCACTGCATCTCCTACGAAGCAGCAATAAGATGTTTGATGGAAGAAACAGGGGATCACCCTGTTTAATTTGTACCTTAAGAAACAACTACTAACAGCATTTGAAATACTGTTTTTCTATAGTTTGTGGGAGGGTAAAATAACAAAAAAAAAGTTGAGCTAGACATTTAGTAAGGTTGAAGGTTAGCTGTCTATCCCAAGCTGTGAAGGTACCTCCCTGTGGGCTGCAGACCACAGGATGAAGCACAGATGACTGCAGCAAAGGACATGGAAATCCACCTAGAAATGGGAGATGAGCAAGGCCACCATCTCAGCCGCTGGGCTGGTCCAGGCAGGTCCTGGAGCAGGCTGTCAAGGAGAGCTGAAAGCCCACCTTTTGGAGGAGAACTCCAAGAGGAGGCATCAGGAGCTTCTTTCACTCCTGGGCAAAGCAGGTGGGGATCAAACCCATGGGGAACAGAGTCTTCTGCATGAGAGGTCAAGAGACAGGACATGGTTTATACATATGAGTTTTATTCAAGGAATAAAACTCAAGAGCTAAAGGAAAGGGACTGAAATCTGATGGTTGCTGCTAATATATTGAATCTGCCATTTGACAAACAGCTCTCCATCTATGGGTTTTAAGTACGCTTGACTTGTACCTAAAGCACCAATTTCCCACCTCCAGCCTGCTGGGCACAACAGCCTGCTGCTTTAAGCCCAGTGCTACAGATACACTGCCCTGACAAAAATTCCTACTAACCCTAACATCTACTATGTATTTTTGATCTTTTAAGGGAAAAGTTTTGAAAGTTGCCATAGTAAGTTAAGAAGATGCGTGGTGCTAAAAATAATGGGTCGGGTGCTCCTGCTTCCTTCAGGTGGTGTGGAAAATTCCAGCTGGAGGGGCCACGTTTTAACTGCAGGTACGAACTGAATCATTTGGCCAAACAGGAACACATTAATGCACGGGAACACTCTTATGACTGCTTTCCACCTTAAAAGCAGATCTAATCTACGTGATGTGGAGAAAGAAAATATAAACACAGCGTTCCCAGCTGCAAGTCCCCTCCTCAGATGTCCTGCTGCTGCTGTACTGGCAAAGGACCAGCCCGGCGAGTCCCCTTTGCTTGCAGGAGTCTCCACTTAGATCTCCACAAAGCTATGGTTTCCCTCCATCTCTCTCTGTAGCTCCTACGAGGTCAAACTGGGATTTGATTCCTAACTCAAACAGCTTTTTTTTAGCATCACTTATCGTGGCCTTCGAGTTAAAACAATCCACCAGTCAAAGCCAAACAATCAGCATCCCTGGCATCTATACATTACTGCTCCTGCCACTTTTGCCACCCTACATCTGGTCACCTTCTGTTCTGTAGGGCATTTGCTTCACAGTGGAAGGCGAAAAGAGAAGAGAGAAATTGTTCTGCCTGAGGACTGCTCCGTTCTTGACCAGAAAGTACTCCTGGAGCGTAAAACCAAACTTTCCATTGTGTCCCTGTGGGATTAGCTATGTTTAGACTTCTCTGTGGGCTTGCGAGGGAAAGAGAAAGAAAAGACAAACAAAGCTCTTGCCTCTTGCAGTGCTCTGGAACGCACAAAGCGGTTTCTCTTTCCTGGTTTTACAAGCAAAGATAGCCATTAATATTCCTTAACCAGCATCAAGAGCTAAGCCCTGTTTTCCACAAAGCCAGTCCTGGCAGGCATGCAGGTGCACAGCGCAAGAAGTTCACCGTCCCTTACAAATACAGGAAAAAATACAGTTATCTTAATCCGAAATTCCTGGAAGAATAAAGTTTCTTTGCCATAATGCAATACTATAAATACTACTGGCTTAAAGCCAGTACACAAGAAACCTGTCTTTATTAAAAACACAGTGCTTTATCTATTCCTTCAAGTGGACTCTTGAGTTATCATAACTTTGTTTTAGTGTGGGAGGACTCAGAAGTCCTGATAGTTTTATCCAAATTGTTTTTATAGAAATCCGCCTGCGATCGTAGTCCGTCACAGGATTTTCAGTAACTGGTTTATCTGGAAATATTATCAAAACAAAACTTCTTGCAAGACAGATTTCCTCACTAACTGGAAATACAAAAAAAAAAAAAAAAAAAAAGAGGGACTTTAGGAAAAAATACAGTTATCTTAATCCGAAATTCCTGGAAGAATAAAGTTTCTTTGCCATAATGCAATACTATAAATACTACTGGCTTAAAGCCAGTACACAAGAAACCTGTCTTTATTAAAAACACAGTGCTTTATCTATTCCTTCAAGTGGACTCTTGAGTTATCATAACTTTGTTTTAGTGTGGGAGGACTCAGAAGTCCTGATAGTTTTATCCAAATTGTTTTTATAGAAATCCGCCTGCGATCGTAGTCCGTCACAGGATTTTCAGTAACTGGTTTATCTGGAAATATTATCAAAACAAAACTTCTTGCAAGACAGATTTCCTCACTAACTGGAAATACAAAAAAAAAAAAAAAAAGAAAAGTAGGGACTTTTTCTGAACGTCTTAAAAGATTTGGGCTGATCTTAATCCTGAAAGAAACATTTAGACCTTTACCACTTAAAGTAACCTAGAAGTCTGATAAATATTACTCAAAACAATACTTTCCCTGAGCTGCAGTTCACTCACATGCAATAATATAACCCCTTCTCCCCATCCCCTGCTTAAAAATAGGAGGAAGGAAGCTTTATGAAAGAAATCCCAACTTATTCACAAAAGCTGCCTAGGGCAACAAGGGCATTTAAGAGATGTAAACATTTCCGAATGACCCACAGGAAGGGAATGTAGTAATTTTGATAAATAACGTGACTGCCTTAAAGCTAACTTGCCCCCTGAAAGGGTTGTGAGTCAGACTGTCACCAACAACCCCCAGCTTGTTTTGGTTCCCTTTGCTTTTTACCCACCACTGGAAAGATTTGAGATCTCGGTGACGAGCAAAATACAGTTTTTGGATTTTCAACATCTCCGTGACTTTTTTTGATTTTTTTTTTTTTTTGGTGATTTATAATGCTGCTTCCCAGCCTTCTTTTCCTGCTCTCCTTTGCCTCTTTAAAAGACCCCCCGGAGCAGCAGGAGAGGACGGCGGGAGGCACTGAGTGCAAGGCCTGGGAGGCTGCCAAAACCTTAAAAGTAAACAAGCTGAAACAGGAGAAGAAACCTATTAACTGCTTTCCAGTCTTGAGCTACTTATTGCAAAAGCAGTGAACGGAATAAACAATGGCAAAAAGGGGATATTAAATACGTGGCAGGTTTGTTGGTAGATCAGTTATCTAGAGATTAGCCAGGCAGAGAAGGCAGCAAGGAAGGCCCTGCTGGTGCTCCCAGCTCAGTGGGCTGTATCCTGGCCCACCAAAGATGTTTTGGAATTACTTTTCTCACATAGTCCAGCATGAGCAGTTTGTCATATAAAAAAGGGTTCATATTTCAAATTTTACCACCTTTATTTATCTATGCCATCTACAGGTTCAGAAACTGTAGGCTTAGAAAGTCTGTTCCCATTATGCATTGGACAGGAGTCCCTTGAACCCTCTCCTGTGCACCATAATGCATGAACTGTGGCTTCACTTCTCAGTAAGACATGGCACTATTTGGCTTTTGGGAGCTCAGACAACAGCAGTAGGATTTCATTAGCATGGATGCTTGCCTGAAAGCTAATAATTGCTATGTCTCCTTGATTTGGTGACCTGAGGAGGTGACAGAGTGATCTGTCCATGGACTCTGTCAGATAAGAAGCCCATTTTCTTTTCTTCTATTAGGGTTGCACAGATGAACTCGAACTTTTCTGAATGATTGTAGGAAATAATGGCATTATACCTGCCCTTTTAGTTACATCAAGTCTGGAAAGTTCTTAAACCTTAAGAACAGAAGAAGTTTTGGATTTGTTGCTATGTGTGAAATGCTTCCATGTGCATTTTCTTAATTTATTTTTTCTACTTAAGCACCAAGAACTAGCTACCCTTGCAGAATAAAGACAGGACTAGAGGAGCTGGGCATGACAACTGTTATATGTTTAGGTAACATCTATATTATGGAAAGATTCATAAAGGAAGACAAAAAGTGCCCATTCTGAAGCGTTTGCCAGCCTAAGAACAAACCCAACACAAGTAAATGAGAGAACAGGTATAGAGGGTAAACATCCAATGTAACTTCATTCCTCTGCCCCTGACTTTTTGAATTATAGACTTAAAGTTTTCAAGAGGGATACTGAGGAAGGATTTAATCAATGGGAAGATATTCAGCGAGAATGTCTCATGTATTTCTTTCAGTACAGATGTCAGAAGTGGATATGAAGGCCAGCGTGCTGAAGTAGTTGGCATGTATCTATTCACTTTACCCTCAACGCTTCACCTTTCCTCTTTCTACTCCACCTTCCAACCTCCACCTTTATATCCCACCTCTGCTTCCTGCTGATATTCCCTCCTCCTCCTCCTCTTCCTCATAAAAACTAGGTGAAAGTTTAACCAGCCTAGAACTATTTCTAAGGTGTATCTAAGTCATTCCTGATCTGTGGGACCAACTTCAAGTAGTGGGATTGAGACAAGCAAAATTCAGCATCTTGAATATATGCAACTTTCACAGCTACCGTTACAGGTTAGTATATAGATCTAGTGTTGACATCTTGTTTTCTAGAACATAATTTCACTCCAGTTATGGCTCTAACACTAAAGCAACAATGACAGGCTTCCATATGAATCCAACATATGCTCACTTTCTAAGTAAATACTATTTGAAACCTGAATAAAATACTTACGCTTTAGGATATTTCTTTGCTCTAGCTCTTCAGTTGTAGGCCTCTGGCTAAGTCTCCTGTGAAAACAAAGGGACTGATTTAAAATCAGACCTAAATAACACATTATGATTTGTAATACAGCTTAAAAGGAGTTTCTCATACGGCCATGCTGTTCTTTGCCATCAGAGGTATTCAACAACACAGGAAATTTCCAGATACAGTTACAATAAATGTGCATGCAACCACAGTACTAAGTGGCCATTTGTTTTAAAAGATGTACTATTGCCACTCAAATACATAAATAACTGAAACTTGCATAGTATTACAGAAATTGTACCAGCAAATTTAAATTCCTCATTTACAGGTAGAATTTTATGCAAGAGTTCATAAATCTTTTTTTCCCCCTAAGCATCATAATTATGGTAAGTTGTGCAATCATAAGATTATTCTCAGATATTTTGAATGCAAATCCTTTTTTTTTTAAATACAACATAAGCTGTGCATTCCTCATTGATTTGTATGCACATGGAAAGTTAATCTTAGTCACCTTCAACAACTGCCATTAAAAATCCCCAACCCTGAGATAGTAATTTTCTTGTTTGTATAGTGGAGAATGTGGTTGATACTGTCTCCGTGTTTACTAAACAGGTTGACTTGTTCACGTAAGAGGAGCAAGAAAAATTTCAGCAGTAAAATTAATTTTGCAGATGTCTTAAAGATAGATGCCTCTCTGTCCAGCAAACCTTGCACAGTTCACTACAGATTACCTTCGGCCTCATGAAACCCATCTCATTCAAACCATGTCCAAGCATGTGGTCTACCTGGTGGGGAGGACCAACAAGTTTGCCCCGAGTGACCAGCTCTTGCTGTAGGAAGTCCCAGGCTGGGACTTGACCCGACCCTGATCAAACTATAGAATCATAGAATGGTTAGAGTTGGAAGGGACCTCAAAGATCATCGAGTTCCAACCCCCTGCCCTGGGCAGGGACACCTCCCACCAGACCAGGTTGCTCCAAGCCCCATCCAGCCTGGCCTTGAACCCCTCCAGGGATGGGGCAGCCACAGCTTCTCTGGGCAACCTGTTCCGGTGTCTCACCACCCTCACAGGAAAGAATTTATTTCTGAATGGGAACAGGTTTCTACAGGAACAGGTTTCCCATCAGACCTCGATGCTGCCAGGTGCTGACCACCACCACCCCAGGAAGTTTTAAGGAACTGGCGTCAAACTGGCGCGATTTCAGGCACTGAGCACAGCCCTGACACGCACAGATGTCATCTCCTGTCACCAAAGCAGAGCTGTGTGGGGAGCGTGCCAGCTTCCCAGCAGAACCAGCAATGTCCCTGTGCAAGATGCTCAGGATGGGAACTGGAGCAGCTTCTGCTGTTCAAGCCCCCCGAGGGAGCACCAACAAGCAGGATGTGATCACCAGAGCTGGGTCGGGAAAGCGGTGATAACAACCACGCTGCTTTATTAGCAGAAGCAAAATGACCCTTGGGCTGTACACAGTAGATGTATCACTCTTATGGCTGAGGGATGAAAGAAATGACTCTGCCAGCTGCCCGACTCACAGAGCAGCACTGGCTGGGCTACCCAGTATCTGGAAATCTCCAACAAACACAGGACATCCTCCCCATCTGCCCGGACAACATTTCTGAGCACAAGAGAAACAAGGAGAGGTCTGGGAAAATCCAGACATGTTGTAGTCTTTCCTCAGAGACCATGAAAGCCAAAATTAATATTTACAAAGAATTTTTGAAAACAGCTTGTAAAAACGCAAGTGAAAATTAGTCTTTTTTTTGTGTGCAATGCTCTCAGGTCCAGGTAAAGAAACTAATTGCAGTTAAACAGCATGAGAAATACATGTCTCAGAGCTGGGCACAGTAAAACACTAAACGCTGACCTACAAAGCCAGCCTCTCTCTGTTTCTTTTGCTGGAACCAGCACATGAATAACGAAGGGGGAGGAGGATGAGGAGGGCCAGGAGGGATGAACATGCACAGGCACGCTCTGGGTGTCAGGAACCACTACTCAGTCTGAGATGGAGATATTCAGGCGCAAGTCCCTGCTACCCAGTGTTAGAAAAAGCTTGAACCATGGCATTGATTGTTCTGGAGTTACTCCTCTTTCTCTTTTTAAAAAGTACAAAAAAACCCCAAGCCCCAGAAGCTCTCAGATTTGTTTCTTGCAGGACAGAAGTGAGTTATTGACATTTTAAAGGGTTTTTTTTGAGAAATAAAAATACTGTCTTCCAGGCAGTTGTACCACACATTGGGCTGCATTTAAAACGTGAAACCCAGTGTTCTTGATCCTCTTCCTCCACCTCCGCACAGTGAAACCACATTTACCCTGCCACCGATACCTCACAAGCTTTGTTCCAATCTGATGTCTGATTTCCTGCCTCTCCTCTTCAGATGTACGCTGCAAGATGTTTTTGTCTTCTAATTCTTTCTTAGATGGTCTGTTGCCAAGTTTGATAGCAAGAGTATCCCTGCGACGAATCTTACTTGCCAAAGAGCCTGAGGAAAGGAGGAGAAGGGTAGATTTAGTTCATTCATGCTTAGGTTACAGACACAAACTCCAAGTAAGAACTTTAATACCTCCCCAAAGCAGCCTTGTTCCCACGTGCAGGAGAGGAATTTTAATTAACATCAAAAGAAAAAATAGTTTTAGCTCAGTTCACAACAATGAAAAGCTGAAAGGCTTCGTTGAAAAAGCTACCAGCCAAATTGATAGAGAGTTTTAAAAAACATCACTTGTCATCTCTGAAGTGATGGGATAAAAATGACAAAAACTGTCTTTGAAGTCTGATACATAACAGGTTGGTTTATTTATCTACTTAGTATATTTATCAGCCTGTTGCTCTTTTTCTTCAGCCTTAAATGGTTTAGTCTTGTTCTCTCATCTTTTCCCTCATTCTTTCAATTTATTTTTTTTCAATCTAATACCACTTAGTTCTTGTATAGTGCTTTTCATCTTTAACTAATCCTTAAATTAAAACACAATACACAGTTCAGAAAAGTGCTCTGAGTGCTTGTAAAGTAACCTAGACAGGACCTCCCTGGCACTGAAGTAACCTGTTTATCCATAGAACAGATACAGCAGGGACAAGGGCCGTGCAGTTTTGTCAGCGTTAGCTTCAGCCAGCCGTGGAAGGAAGAGTATTTTGATCTTTAGTCTTTCCCCTGTCTCTTGATATTCTGACCGAGGGTGCTACATCTGTGCTAGGTTGGCAGGTTTTCATGACATCAGACAGCTTGGGAAGACCACAGGCTCTGAGCTCACTTCTCGTAAGCCACCATGCTGCTGTCTGAATACATGAATTTTTGGTTGCTACCACTTTGGATTGTATTCAAACCAAAAGCAGAACTGCAGAAGACTTCAGCCTCTTGAGCTAGGAAGAGTGCCCAAGGAAAAAAGTGTCCAGTGTCCAATGAAGAAAGAACCATTGCACAGCTACCACTTTGGATTGTATTCAAACCAAAAACAGAACTGCAGAAGACTTCGGCCTCTTGAGTGTCCAATGAAGAAAGAACCATTGCACGGGCCCCAGCAGGTTTCTCATCACAACTGTCTGGGAGAAGTGGGACACTCATTTCTCAGTAGTGGTAGAATATTAAATCATCTAAAACCATCCCATACAGCCATATCCTCCTTTACTTTGCACTCTTTACTTTGCACTCCCAGGGGTCAGGCACACTCACATAAAACAATGTGCAAAAGGGAGCCTGTAACTTCTCAGAAGGCTGCCCAGCCAGAGAACCAGACCCTGGTACAGAATCACCCATGGACTGATGTGCTTGCTCACAGCTCCATCCTGAAGTCTTTGCTCCTGAAGGCCACAATTTAATGGAGGCAGCTGCACGAAATTTCAGTGTGTAGATGTCTTTGGACTACACTCAACCAGCAAGCTCCAGTTGGCAATCTGGATGCAATCACAGCAGCTCAGTAGGCTCTCTCAGCCAGCCCAGGCCAAGCGTGTATATTAGATATACCCAAAGGTGGTCACCCCTTCCCAGTACACCTTTCTTGTCATAGAATCATAGAATTGCCCAGGCTGGAAGGGACCTCCAAAGGTCATCTAGTCCGACCTCCCCGCAGTCAGCAAGGACACCCCCAACTAGACCAGGTTGCCCAGGGCCTCGTCGAGCCTCACCTTGAATATCTCCAGGGATGGGGCCTCAACCACCTCCCTGGGCAACCTGTTCCAGTGCTCCACCACCCTCACAGTGAAGAAAGTTGTCAGGGGCTTACTTTCAGTACTTGCATTATCATCATCATCATCATCGTCATCATCTGTGTAGAGTATCGGTCCGTCAGAGTCCGAGTCGCTGCTGTGGCTCTCCCGGCTGCTTTCACTTTCAGGAGGAGCAGCAGCATCAGAAGCCTCCTCCAGCTGTTCAGAGTGTGCCTGGTCAGGTGCCTCCGCTTCGTGGTCTTCTTTGGTAGCCAAGCTGGTAATTCAGAAGCAGACATGGTGTCACATTAGCGCAAGGAGCACAGGACACACGTGGGAGAAAGACTGTATAAGCAAGTACGAAAACCAAAGTTCTATGAGTCAAACTTCTCTCTTTCTAAAAAATATACGTATATAAAACCTGTATAAAGTAATTGTATACATATCTCTATGTCTGTATGCTGAGAAAAAAGACGCGCACAGTCTGGAATGACACGCTGCAAAGCCTGTATAAAGAAAAATCCTAATTCTTTTTTTTTATTTCTTGTGGGATGGGACTAACAGTACATAAAAACTATTAAGAAGAGAAAAACAGCTCATACAGTTGGGAGTGAGAGGAGTGAGTTGGAGAGCAGATGGGAGTGCAAAGCTGGTTGTGGAAGCCTAACTCTATTTATTGTAGACACAGTTTTACTGCTTTTGAGTCCAAAATGTTCATGTCCGTCACTGATGAACATGGAAATTAGCAGCAGAGTGCTCTTTGCCTTGGGAAAATCTTTATGTAAAGGAAGGGTAGAGTAAGGGGGGAAGCAGCACAGAACGCAATGCTGGCACAGAGATACCAACAAGAATTTAAAGGGAAGTCTCCAGGCCACTGGCGTCTACACTAAACTCTCTTGGGTTGCTATGCAAGATGCTGGTTCTCATAGCAGGGAAAATGCAGATTAATAAGCCAGTCTCTAAACTCTCTTGGGTTGCTATGCAAGATGCTGATTCTCATAGCAGGGAAAATACAGATTAATAAGCCAGTTTCTTTCTGCTGCCAGCTATTTTGCTTAAAAAAATGTAATTATGACCTTGCTTTTTACTAAATTTTATAGTATCTGAGATTTAGACAAGCTATTAGGCAGTAGCTTGCTTTTTACTAAATTTTATAGTATCTGAGATTTAGACAAGCTATCAGGCAGTGAGAGACCAAACACCTACTAATGGAAGCCTGAAAATATCATTTTCAAGTCTCCAAGCAAATTCAGCTATTGAGCTGAGGGCTTTAGCAGTGAGATATTTAATGATATCCACAAAAAAAGTAAAGCCCCCTTGTAATTCAGCATCATTTCTAGTGAGAGAGAAATGAAAATCTCCCTCTTTTTATGAGAGAGAAATAAAAATGTTATCAGCTGCTAGCTGAACTGCCGACCGCAGTGGTCACATTAAGCCCCATAATGGACCAGGAGGCAGGTTAGGAGCAATGAGCTTCTGGGGAAACATGAGGTACTGCAGCTGAATGGCTCAAAGACATTGGCAAAGAATAAACTGTGCTGGGATGCAACGCTCCTCTGGGCCTTCCAAGAAAAGGACACAAACTGTTACCAGTCAGCAGAATCACAGAATTATAGAATGGTTAGAGTGGGAAGAGACCTTAAAGATCATCGAGTTCCAACACCCCTGTCATGGGCAGGGACACCTCCCACCAGACCAGGTTGCTCAAAGGCCTATCCAGCCTGGCCTTGAACCCCTCCAGGGATGGGGCCTCCACAGCTTCTCTGGGCAACCTGTTCCAGTGTCTCACCACCCTCACAGTGAAGAATTTCTTCCTAATATCTAATCCTTACAAGAAGAAATGTGGCTGCCTTGGCTGTGGGTCCTGCCACTTACCCCTGATAGCCAAACCATCTCACCTTTTAGTGTCTTCTCCACTAGCATCTGGGCCACTGTCTAGGGCCGTACTGCTCAGGCTCTCATCTGTGCCATGCTCAGTCTGGAGAAGAGGTTTAGTATCCGACCCGGGGACGGCTGGCCCGGCCACGCAGCCGTCTGACACATCCTGGGCATCTGAGGAGACAACGGGCTGAGCGGCCGCAGTGGGAAAAGGAGGTGGAAGTGGAGGTGGAGGAGGAGCAGCAGTGGGAGGAGGGGGGACGACAAGCTTGCTCGGTTGGTCTGCGTCCTCCGTCTCAGAAATCACTATGGAAGGTTGCTGAGGCTCAGGTTTTTCTGCCTTGGCTTCCAACCTGTTGGCTGTGGCACCCGAGGGGGAAACAGCAGCCCCATCCGGCGCTGTTCGTGGGGCTGACTGCTTCCCAGGTTTTTTCTTGCCCCTGGGAGTCCCTGATGTGCCCGATTTGCTGGAAGTCTCCTTAGAGGCTTTGGGATGAGATGATGTGGACGAAGGAGATGGTGATGAAGAGGACTTGGAGACCGGTGTTTTTTTTGCGTGAGAGGAACTAGCTAAAATAAGAAAAGACAAAGCATTTTACAGTCTTGCAACCATATGATTTTTTTCACTGTTCTTTCTGCATGGATTCACGTGTGCTGATATTTTAAGAATGAAAAAATTACACTTCATACTTCTACAATCCTTCATCTATATGCTTGAGATGAGTAAATGTTGCAGTTCAAATTTCATCTTTGAGGTAGGAAAAACTGAAACAATAAATACTTGCCCAAGAACAGTGGAGGGGATCAGCCTCATGAATGGGTAAGAGTTTGATTCTAGAGTTCTGCATTGGCCCATTCCAACTTGCCTGGACATCATCTAAAAAGTCTACTATGTGTTTAGTGCCCTGTTTAAAAAAAAAGCGTTACCAGACAGAGAAAACTGTCTGACCTTTTCTATTACGTGAATTTTTGGTCTGAGCACTAGGAGAACACCATTGATTTTCCTTGTGCTTTTCAATGAACACCTCAGGACCATTATGGATATCAGTTTATTACCTTTCATCATGTTATTGCAAATGGTGTGCTCCCAGTTAATGGGAAGCAGCAGAGGACAGCAAAACAAGATGTGCTTTCAGGCCCAGCTGGGCATGTCCATAAAACAGAGGCAGAAACCACTGATCTCACCCTGCACAAATCGTCTCCAGAAGGGAGGAGGCACTGAAGGCCTCCTGTATATAGAGTCATAGAATCCTGGAATTGACATGGTTGGAAGGGACCTTTCAGATCATCTAGTCCAACCATCAACCTAACTCTGACAAAACCAAAAAACCATCACTAAACCATGTCTCTAAGCACTCTGTCAACCCATCTCTTAAACACCCCCAGGGATGGTGCCTCAACCACTCCCCTGGGCAGCCCACTCCAATGCTTAATAACCCTTTCTGGGTAAAAAATTTTCCTAATATCCAACCTGAATCTCCCCTGGCGCAACTTGAGGCCATTTCCACTTGTCCTATCGCCTGTGACTTGGGAGAAGAGACCAACCCCCGTCTCTCTACACCCTCCTTTCAGGGAGTTGTAGAGAACGAGAAGGTCTCCCCTCAGCCTCCTTTTCTCCAGGCTGAACACCCCCAGCTGGAGGTCTCCATCTTGCCAGTGACCAAACTCAGGTAGCCTTGTAAATGTAGTGACACAAGGTTTTGACAGCAGCTGTACACACTGGCCAGGGATGTTGTTGTTTAATCCTGTGCTACTCACTACATCGAAGCGTTATGTGTCTCAATGCCCGAGTGTGCAAGAGATCTGAGCCGGCCTGCACACCCCTGGGCATTCCAGTCACATTTCTGATTGCTGTGTTGATGCGCCCATCATCCGGCCTGGGAGCTTCAGCCTTCTGCCTTTCATTTAAAAAGCAATAAAAATGACAACCCTCCAACGATTCAGCCCTTTTCATCACCAAACGCAGCCAACTCAAACACTTCTGCTGTAGTAAAAACGCATTAACCTCCAGAGAACAAATGAAAGTATTATAAAGCTACACAGCAGCCTTGCGGCTAAGCTTACTGAGTAAAACAGAAAGCTGTAATAGAAATCTGCTGAAAGGCCTACTTTACTTATAAGCATTTAAATAAAAACAAAGCCCCAGCAGATTAGGATGGAACCAAAATACAGATACTGGCCATAATAAGCTCACGATATAAAAATAGCTTTCACAGTGAGACTGTTCTCAGCCTCAAAGAAGACGGAAAATAACTCAGAAGACACATTATACTGTTCTCTTCTGTAGCTGAATGTTATGGTTTATAAACATTTGGAGTGCTGTGAGGCTTTCAGTACATCTGGAAAAATCTGCAGAAGCTCCTGACTTCAGGCAAATCACTGTCCCTCTTTGTGCTGCAAGGTGAGTGCAAGGGGCACAGAACAGAATCCACTGATACTGCACTAATCACCCACATTAACTACAAATCACTGACTTAACTTACCAGCAAAACAAAAGGGAGCAAAGAAATGGTATAGGCAGCAGTTCATAATTGCAGTGGAAATACATGGTGGCTCCACCCTGGATATTATTTAGAAGAAACCTTACTGAGTAAGTGGATGGTATTAAGAAAGGGCTCTGGTTCTGATCCAGCAAAGCACTTAAACACAGGCTGGAGGTCAGCAGAACCAGCTACATGCTTACACTTAAGAACACCAACATAATACCAATATACAGCCACGCTGTAATTGGTGCTGGGAAAATGTCAAAAGATGTTTCCATTGAAAAAACCCTCACATTATTCTCAGAACCCTTCTAGACCTGCAATTAGATACAGCAACTTGAAAGACTTCTCCCAGGGAAAATCCCCCCTACTCTTTCACGTGGGTCAAAAGTGCTATTGCTATTGTTAATTTTGACTGGGCTGGCTGACAATTTTCTGTCATGCCTCTTTTTCAGTAGAAGATTTGAATTTTGTTTAAATAAAAAATGTCATGGCTGTTACTTGCTTTCTGGCACATGTCCATGCTTATGTTTAAATCCCCCCTTCTCCCAACTCCGCTATTGCAGTTTGGAAACCTGCTGTGATGCCCTCAGGAGAGCCTTGGCTCTGCTGTTACTTATATTCCTCTTCTCCTTCATGGGATGGATCATTGACTGCATCACGTGTTCTCTTTCACAAGGATCTGGTAAATCTCCTGTACTAAATACTGCTCCTGATCAGCTCTATTTATTAAGTATTGCCCTTCAAATGAACATAATGTACCTAATGTTGGAAGAAATTACCATTGGAATATGTACTATTTTATATAAAGAATATATTGATATGTTTTATACCCATATGGTCTCAAGCATTGCATAAGATTTCAGCAAGGCTACTAAAAGACAAATCTGGAATCTGAATGCATTTTTAAGAACTGAGATACCTGAGAGCTTGTTACCAACCACTGGTCTAAACATTTCTTTATGTGATGGGTTGTTTCATTTCTGAAAGTTCTGCTGTTGTAAGGTTCCTCCACCTGGGGAGAACTGAGATTTCCTGCTGAATGTGAAATACAAGCAGCAAATTTGGGGTTTTCAAAACATTAATTCTTGTGGTTGTCTGATATAGTAGGGACAGTTAATACCAAGTTAATGGATATTTTATGGCAAAGTTATTATTGTAACTCTAGCAGTCTTGCAATGTTTTCAAACAGTCCTCTTCTGCGTGCTTCAAACACAAAACATGCCAAAACGTACAAGCTAGGAAGAGGTATACTTGGAGAGAAAACTGGAGGGACTGAAGGGCTTTGAAAGACTGACAGAGGATTGGAAACACAAAGATTGTATAACTTGGCCAATGCATATATACAGTACATTTATCATAATACTGCTTGTGTTCAAATTTAATTTGGATGTCTTCATTTCGGTCATTGTCTAAATTCCAACCATTCAAACTCCAGATCAGTACCTTAAGAACAGCTACCTATAGTCTTCAATTTAGCATCACTGCTGAATTTCGTTTTGAAAAAGTAGTGATAAACACATCTTCTGTGTGCCTGATGATGGACACTTTCCATTTCCATTTCCAGTGTGTATTTAGAATCACAGTAAGCCATCAACCAGCCCAGGGAAGCCTGGCCATTTCTAATGAGTTACAATTTCTTTTTTTTTTTTTTTTGCACTAAAACAACTGCTACTCAACAGCCTTTAAAGATACCTTCAGGGTTTTATCCTTTACCTCTTTGAGACCTCGTAATCTTGTCAAATTTATCAGAATACTAGATAGTTCCAGAAAAAGTTACAGCATACCAAGGTGGTTTTACTTTGGGGCAACTCATGTTTGGTTTCAGAAGTCACCTTTTTTTTCTCTGCTGATTCTTTAGCAGTTCTCTGAGTCATTTCGTTGCCAGCATTCACACTTGTGCGGGGAATTCAATATATGTGCTTGGTGTTGTGCATAATAAGTTCATTCAACAGCGAAGTGATTTGTCTGCTGTCTGGGGTGTCTGCAGACAGCAAGACCAGAACGAGCTATACAACATCGCTGGCGTGCCCTGCAGTAATGCTGCTACATACAAAGGCAGAAGTTATGGTAAGACCAAGCCAAGAACCCCCATGCACATGCACCCACCGCAACTGGCACTGCCTCTGCAGTACTCACCAGCTTCTCGGTTCGCACCATGACTTGTTGGCTTGGGCGGTGGGAGAGGAGGCTGCTTAGCAGGAGCCTTTCCCTTTTTTTTAGCATGAGGTGCTTCATTACTCTTATGGCTGGTGGTGGTGGTGGAAGCGGCACTAGCATTTTTTGGTGGTAGCGGAGCTTTTTTGGGTTTAGGCTTAGGCTTGGGTGGTGGTGGAGCATGGGATGCCGGTGTTTCTGGGCAGTGATCAGTAGTGCTCTCTATAGATAAGAAAGTGAACAGAAGCCAACTGACACAGACATACACCACATACATTCAATGGCAAGCCTGACAACAATGACTAGATTTGCTGCTTAAGCTTTTGGGAATCAGGAGAGACTTCATCTTAGAGTCACAGAATCATAGAATGGTTTGGGTTGGAAGGGACCTCAAAGATCATCGAGTTCCAACCCCCTGCCATGGGCAGGGACACCTCCCACCAGACCAGGTTGCTCCAAGCCCCATCCAGCCTGGCCTTGAACCCCTCCAGGGATGGGGCGTCCACAGCTTCTCTAGGAAACCTGTTCTAGTGTCTTCTCTGGGAGATGCTCAATACGAGAGCCATCTTCTCTGTCTCTTATTGAAGTATCATCTCAGTTCAAGTCCTTCTCATGAAAGATTTTTACCCAGCACTTCTCTCAGTCTCTTCTACTCTTGACCTCCAAGGGTCATCCCTAATGTTCAGTATCCCCAACTAGACTGCTGGCTGCAAACTAAACAAGGGAAAGGCCATTTACTCCTCTAACAAATTCCCTTGGCTTCTTTCCAGTCCTCTGAGATCAACAGGCTATAAAACTTAGATTCATGTGAATCTGAATCTGAGTAGGGCCACTCTCAGCCACGGGTTCAAATATGACTATGCAGCTGAATTTTTTCCCTGAATTTTTCTCCTGAGCTGCTTGCTCATAGCAACTTTATTTTGGGTATCTTCCCCAGGGTATTTCTACTCTTCAGAAAAGAGATGAAGCTAAATCAAAGAGGATATCATTGGCCATGGGAATGCTCTCCTCTTCTACAAGCTCTTTGGGTTCTGTTGCAAGACTGCACTTCAAAGTATCAGCAGTTCCTTAGTCAACAGGCGTTTGGAGGGGATCTACATTGTGCCATGCAATAGGAATGGCTCTGTAGAGTGAAAGAGGTAGCAGCGAGGACCCAATGACCACAATGTGCATCTCAGGAGACTTGGCTTTGGACTAGCTTCAGGCTAGTTCTGTATATTGCGTTCCCAGTCGTGGTGGAAGCACAAGTTCCTGAACACATCTTTTGGCTTAGCTTCATCAAAAAAACCAAACCTGGCTTGTGTGCTCTGCAAACCAAAGAAGGGTAAGTGGGGATGACCAGGAAATTAATTTCAAAAGTGCATGCCAAATGCCGATTGTAATCGTAATTTAGATTAGCCATTTATAGTCAACATAAAATTTTGCAACATAGTCACTATGGCTGTAAGACTAGCTGTTCTGAGACAGGAACAGCTAAAGTTCTCACAGGGGAATCTTTATCTTTTCAATTACACCAGTTCTTTGCCCATTTGGTCTGAAGATAGCCTTCCCAAACCTTCCAGAAAAAGGGTATTATAAAAGCAAGAGCATACCATCACAATCATATGGGCTTTATTTGCATCTTACTAAAAACTGCAATAGTTGGGGAAGAAAGTACCCAAACAAATATTGTAAAGACTCCTAACAGCCTCACAGGGGAATCTTTATCTTTTCAATTACACAAGCTCTGTACCCATTTGGTCTGAAGATAGCCTTCCCAAACCTTCCAGAAAAAGGGTATTATAAAAGCAAGAGCATACCATCACAATCATATGGGCTTTATTTGCATCTTACTAAAAACTACAATAGTTGGGGAAGAAAGGACCCAAACAAATATTGTAAGGACTCCTAACAGCCTCTTATGACTTGAGAGGAAACCAATTAATTTCTATTTAAGCCTCTTCACTGAGGCTTAAATAGTATGTTCCTATTTCAGTCTCACTCTTAGACATATTAAATGGCTGTTCCTTAATGTCCTGTCTGTTCCTTGCTCTCTTCCTTCCCATGTAAATGATTCCCAAGAGTTAAGCAGCACCTTTTCACTCTAAGATTAGTGGATGAAAAACAAATAATGTGTTGGACAACAATTACATTCTTCATCTTGGAAACAAAGCCTTTTCAACCTCTAGCTTAAGGCTTGTTAACATGAATCTAATGCATCACCTGCAGTTATTAGAAGCAACATGCACACATATGTCTCCTGAAGAACTGAAGAAATTAATATTAACTGTCCAGTGTCGTCCCCCTTTATTTACAGCCCATTATAGACCAATATGTTTTTGCTAATGTTTTGCAAAAACCATTGTATAGCAACCTTTTACAGCTTTCAAACAGATTCTTTTAAGCACGGATTCTCGCACGGCCTCTTACTTTTCCAGAAAAAAAGCTCTGGACCAGGGAAAGACTTTGGAAGAAGAAAGAAATATACATATTTGTTACATTTTGCTCTTCTCTTTTATAACAAAAAGCACCTCCTTGTGAAATTCTACCTACCTTCATTCAAAGTTGAAAAACTGATATAATTCTGAAAAAGCAGGACATTTAAAATTTTTAATTCCATTCATTACAAATATGGCAAGAGAAGATAAGATTTTGTATTTTGAAGATATTGAAGGACATCATGATCAGACAGAATTTTACGTGTAAACAATTCTTTGATATACCTTTTACTTACGGGTCCAGCATGCTAGAATTTTATTTACTAATAAGAAAGAATTTAAAACTTATGTACTTATACACCATTACTGTGTTTTGTTTCCAGTCACATTAGTAGAGAAAATATAAAAAGAGACGTTAACCTAGTAAAAAGGAATATACCACTCACCATATTCTGAAGTAATACAGTGCAATTATTTAGAATCTCAGTCAAGTTACATTAAACTATATAACTGATTAAATCATGTGTATTAGAATTTATCTTCCGATTCAGGAAAAAAAATACAAAATATAAGGCTAAAGCTTTACTTAATTTCAACTAAACACATCTTAATAACCAACAAATAATTTTCAAATTTTGTTTAGAGAAAAAACTAAAACCTATAAATGAAAACCAAAATCGGAACAGTTAATTCATATCAAGCTTCTTGCTTGCAGACTTCAGTTGTGATTAAAACCGGCAATATATATAACATGGATTTTAACCAAAATACCCTACCATCACTAGGATACCATCTTTATCCAGGACAGCTCTTTCCATACTGTTCGGTACATCATATCAAAGACTGGCAGACTCTTTCTGCACAGCAGCATCCTATCTGCTCAGACAGTTACAGCTCCCATGGAGCCCTGGCTGTCCCTTGATTACGTACATGCCCTTTTCTTGGCCTTGACCAATGGATCTTCCTTTCGCTCATAGCCATGAGGAAAGCTGTGGCAAAGACGATTGCCTTTGACCGTATGGTCCCTCTTGGCATCTCATTAGCTTTGTTGTTTTTATCTTTGTTAGCTTCATCTTTTTTATCTCATCAGATACAAACTTGACTGCCCTCAGCGTAGTCTAATCTTGCCCAAACTATTGTTTCTCATTTGCTCTTGAGACACAGATTCCCAGTTACTACCTGCCCAGTCCATTATACCAGCTTTTGCCAGCAACAAGCTAAGTTTCAAAGTAGATGCTTTTCACTGCTTTTCCTCTGCTGCCCCTCAGGCCTCGTGAACATTTACTGACTGTCCTCCCTCAAATTCCCCTCTTCTGTGATGCCAAACCTGACAACTTTTAGGCTTGTGCTTGTTACCCTGGTCTGGTCTCCTCTTGTTTTTCAGCGCTTAACCACAGCATCATCTCTTTTTCTGCAAGTCCATTGGAACTTTTTAGTGTTTTTCTGCATTCACGTAAGAGACTACAATAAATTCCTGGCATATATGTAAGTACTGTAGTAATGCAAATAACTAACAATGGCAACAGTGGCTTGACCTTAAACAGAGACAGGGATGGTCTGATGTCTGCAAATGGCTCGAGATAGAATTATGTTGTAATTGTACCACCTGAACATAATTATGCTTGAATATGGACCCTTGGTCTTCATGCCCTGCTCTTTTTTTTCCATTTTTGCCAAAACAAGGAGGCATCTAAATCACTTCAGACCCATCTATTTGTTCAAGCCAATCCCCCTGGTACCTCAGTACCAGCTGCAATGTATTTTTTTGGTGGTGTTTTTTCTTAATGTAGACATCTGTTCATCACGAACTGACCTTTTAACAAAAGGTCTCCAAAAGACCATCAGATAGGAATATCTTTTATTCACTGCTGCCTTGATCAAGACATCTGCTGTAAAAGCAATGTGCCTATAAATTACTCTTTAAACAGGAAAGCAAAGCAAATGTTAATGTCTCATTAAGCATTTGGATCAATAACATGTTTATGTTTAGAATAAATTTTCCAAAGGCCAGATTTTCAAGAAAGCTCACTTTGGGACCAGATTTTCTTCTTCACAACAATTGCAATTGGGGCCAGATTCTTAAGAAAGCTGTGTTCTCATGTAAACACCTAAATCGTGGTCAGGGTTACAAAGTACTTGGTATACAACAGCTCTTGTGGGGATTCAAGTCTCAAAGACTTTCAGAGAGATGCCAGTGTACCATATGCACTGGAAAATTAGATGCCTTATTTTGGGAGCTAAATGTGGGACCTTTTGCAAATTCTGGACCAAATGGACCTATGAAAACCCTGGGAATGGTTTCAGAAGCCATACATGACTGGGCTGAATAATACAAGAATTTTCAATTTACTTTTGTGAATTTCTAAGGAGCTGAAGGCCAAAGTTTTCTACCCCAGGATTTTGTCACACAGTACTGGTATTTTTGTTTCTACAGCTAAAGCAGTGACATGAAGCTAGCTCACAGAAAACCAGTAGTGGTGCAGCACAAGCATATAACCTGTATCAACTGCAAAGCACCCTTCTCCTGGAAGATGAGCACAACTCAGTGGAGTAACACTAAGTAAAATGGAATTTGGAAATAAAAGTATAATTTGTTGTCTTTTGCAGGATGACTCCCTGCTACATGAAACTCAGTAAGAGTTTTAAGAATCCTGAGTTTCCTTTCCAACCTATGCAGAGAGCTGTGTTTTGATTAATCAAAACCCAGAAGCTGTCATTCAGAAACGAGGGACACAGAGCAAGACAAGGTGTCTTTTGTCTTGTTTTTTGACTCATTGACTGTGCTGATGCAGGTGGTCAACTCAC